TTTGGGGTGTTTGTCGAAAGTCCAAATTTAATAAATTTTATTTTTATCTCTATCGATAAACTTCCAAATACATTTTTAATGCTTTACACTAGATATCAATCCTGTAAAGTGTCGTTCAGTAAACGTGTATATGTAATGTATTCTGCCTTAATGTGAAAGTTGTTCCCACGAGAATGTAAGCGCGTGCTCCTATTTCACCATGCCTCCTGCTGATAGAGGACAAATCTTTGTTTTTAATTTATTTTATTATCATTAATTACTTAAGATGTCATGTGGTACATGGTGTAATGGTTGCAGCTCCTTACAAACGTTGTGTAAAACAAAAACTTGGCGATTAAAAATAGTGACGGAGAGTTTGCCAGTTCTTCTCTTACGTTCTACGCCCTTGACTGAGATCTAGAAGTAAATGTAAAATTAGGAGCATTTCATGTACTTTTTTTTGACGTTCATAAGTGTACATTGTGTTACCTATATGAATAAAGATTTTGAATTTAGAATGAAATAAAAGCAACTTTTTAGAAATAACGCTTTGATCCGTACTCTTATTCAGTGTAAAACTTCTTATCACACAAAAATCACATAACATAGAATAACAAAGAACTGATCTAGGCATTCAGAAAACCAAATCCAGAACCACATTTCATTCATCAGTCATCATAATCGTCATAGTGAAGTATTTCACGGTCACTAGAATAGGTGACGAAAGACACATACAATGTGTTAACAGAACGAAAATAAATTTGTAAAGACTAGTGAAAGGGCATTCTAAATCAAATGGAGAATGAGGCGAACCTATTTCTGTTTTGCATAATAATCTTAATTTAACTATAATTGTTACGATTTCGGATTTGTTTAGACACTGAAGAACTTCCACTGCACATTAACACTGCATATTTAAAAAAAAGTTGAAATCTCTATATATATAAAGTTCTTGTGTCACAATGTTCGTTACCGTACTCCTTCGAAACGGCTCGACCGATTCTTATGATTTTTTTTATGTATATTCAGTTAGTCTGAGAATACTATCAATCTTTCAAACCCTTAAGTGATAAGGGGTTTTTAATTTTTAGACAATTTTTTTTGTTTTCCCTCTACAATCAACCCCTATTTTTTATTATAGCAGATAGTTATTTTTATTGAACTAAAACAATGTTTCTTAGAAATAATATACATAACAACGTTTGTCAGGTCAGCTAGTACGATTATAAAATTCGAGAAAATCAAGTTACGAAAAACAAAGACAGCCTTCAATATTAGAAATGAAATTACTATTTTTATATAACTTTATACTATATGTCGGATCAATGTATAATATATGCAGCTTACAGTAACGCCTTTGCTCCGATATTTTATTTTTTAAGCTCATCACTAATAAATAGAGAAGCTAATATACAATTTTATCCAGTCCGTTATTATATATATCAATGCGCGAGACGGTTACCATAAAAATATAAAAAGGTAATATTCAAGGTCACTTAAGGAGAAATCTGTAACGGATTCCGAATTATTTTAGCGGCGGAACTGCGCAACGACGTCCTGTTTATGAATACTCTATATCTGCCAATACGTTTATAATTACTTACGTTATATTTCGCAGTATATTTAGTTTCATTATAAGGGTTTATTAAAAGTTATATATTCTGTATATAAATAATGTTTTTACGCATCTTTCCAGGATGCAATTGAACAAGATCAGAACTCTAAAATCGTGAGGTTATTTTTGAAAATTGCGAATAAATGATTTTTTTATTATTATAGCCACTAATGCTATGTAGATAAAATTTCGTAATTAAACCAAATTTTCAACAAAAATACTTTAATTGCTTAATCTCAAAATAAAATCTTTATTGTTTTTGCCAACAAAACCGAAAACGTAGTCCGTAGGACGCGAAACTCATTTGCACTAATTTACTAATTATAACTTCGCTTATAATTACTAGCGGATCCGACAGACGTTGTCTTGCATAATATTTCAAGCGATTAGGATATTAAACAAGTATGAAAGTACCGACTGCAGCGCCATCTGCTGGGCTAATTAGTGAATTTGACAATATTTGCAGCACGCATTCTGTCAATGTTATGTGAAACGCCATAAGGTTACGTCAAAAAAGTTTGAATTGTATGGTGGTTAAGTTTTCTAAAATTTCTAATTTCCGCGCAATTTTCTAAATCTTTTCTTTCACAAGAACCTTCTCCTGACAATAACAAACACAACAAAAAAATAATTAGCGAAATCGGTCCAGCCGTTCACGCGTGATGCCGTGACCAAGGGAAATAGGGATTTATTTTTATATACATAGATATATAACACCAGACTCGTTTTGACATTCATTTAATTTTGGAATTCGTCCATATAAATAGCATCTACAGGTGCCCTGCAGAATCCAATCACCAATAATCGTCAATCGACAACTGAAGTCAAAGAAAATGTCATCTTGGCGTCGCGTACAAATTAGCTATGTGATTCACAGCGATAAAGATCAACTATCTATTAATCGTTCAACATGGTCATTACTCCAATCTGTTTAAACGTACCTAACTTTGTATTTAATTGAGGATAGATAATTAAGAAGAATATTCTGTAATTGAACGTACATAATGTAAGGGCCTTAGATGAAATCTATCTATCTAAATTTTAATTCAATTTAAAGTCTAAATATTGTAATGTTCCTGTATTTAATTAATTTAGTATAACGCACTTTATACTTCAAAATGCAGAACGCTTGAATGGATTTATAAATAGTGCACAAAACATCAGTAGGTATATTGTAAATTTTGCTTGCACAAACAGACAACGTAAATAGACTTCAAATACTTTAAAAATCAAACGAAAAACAATGAGACCTTTGTAAACAGAAACGTACGTACGTTTCACGTAACAGCAAACAAATTGTAACCACCGAAAATAACAGATATTTTTTCAGAAATGTCAACGCAAGACTTAAAACTTTCGACCTTAGACCAAACTAATTAGGGCCTAAATTCCTTCAAAGTTCACAGAGGAAAGTAAAAGACAGTGAGTGCGTACATCGTTACTCTTATCACATCGTGATAGATGTTATTTTTGAATGACGGAAGAGAGATAGTTTGCACATAGCGGAGCAGCTAGACCGTTCTAAATTCGTCTTCATCTTTGGCACGGCACTGGGGCAAGGACGCCTTGCGCCCATGCAGATTGATTGACCGATAAATCTTGGATAATAAGACGACGAGGTCCAGTACAAATCACACCTGATCTCCACAGGCCTAACCTCACAAAAACATAAAATCCAGACTACTCTCGCCGAATATTTCAATAGCTTGGCTTAAATATAGCGAGAATGTTTTAGCATCTCCTACACTCGTTGGATTTTTCGCCGACCAATTGGCTTCGTCGGAAAATGCCTATACTTCTTTCATTATATTAAAAAATAGCATTACGTGAGGCAATGGAACAAATATCTCTAATAAGCTGCTTCCACATAAATAATTTGTCAAATTGAATTTTGCTGTTCTGCAATTCTCGTAGAATAGCAAAAATCGAAATTTGTATCGTGAGATCTTGAAACAAAACAAGATGTTTAAGGACGTATATAACTCAACTGTGTTAATCTTGAGAATTTGCTAAGTCATATACTGATAATGTTGGTAAACTAATAAAATCCCCCAGCAACACAACACTAAATATAAATGCTGTAATCGTTAATGTCGACATTAATCTTGTATAAAGACACGACGACAGACTCAGATACAATTATAGAGACGGTTAATCTACCCGTTAATAGAAACTTGGTTTGTGTACTTTCTATTTGCGTAATATTGAAGCTGGCTATTTCCAAACCATATAATAATGTAAAAGCGATAATTTTACTGTCTATTAACAACAAATGTTTGCGAAACAGGATGCGAACTACAATTGTGTTGTGTCAAAAGTTTTGTATTTACAGGCCGACCGAGGTGTATTAAAAAAATTAATAAATATCTTGAATATACACGTGTAAACTGTAGTGTAACTTCACTGTCACTCGCGTGTAAACACTGTCACGTGTAGGGAGGGGGTTACAAGGGTTTTATTACATGTACAAGCCGCGGGCGCGCGTCCGTCGCTCTCGGTCACACCACTATAACTGTCCTACTACATACGGATTGATGTGTGATTGATTCGTCCAAATAAATTATTATATTATTAAAATTTAATGTAATTTATAAATCTTAATAATTTCTGTTTGGTATTCATTTAAAAGCAAAAATGCGTGTCTACTACTAGTGGTCGCCTTGCGTTTTTTATATTCTTTGTGTAAAATTTCATGTTCATTTGTAAGCAAAAAACTCTTTAAAAAGGTGTACCAAGTATAAATATCAGTATTGAAAATAAGCAAAATCAAAATCAATTATTGCCTGAACGACAATTATTCATTACCACGGTAAAGCTACGAAATTTCTAATGTGTATACAATTTATTATCAAACAATAATTTACACCAGCCCAGTTTATTTATTCCGCTTTGCGGAATTTTATATTTATTTTACCGTTTAAAAATTACTTTAAAAGCGTTTTCATATTAAGTTTAAATATAACGTAACCATCGTTATGTTTTTTAACATTAAATTATTACACATATTAATCAAATATAACTGTCAAAATCTAACCTAACGAACAAAAAGTACCAGGATGGCAAAACTAAGTGACATTACTTGAGATTTGATGTTTTCTTCGTCACATAAAATGGAACCAATAAGAGCATAGTACCTATGTGTAGTCATAGTAGGCTATGACTAGAGTGTCATAGCTTACTGGATCTATTACGAATAGGGTGATACATCGACATTAGTTTTATTATCCTATAAAATATAAATAGACACAAAGACATACATACATCAAATATTAATTAATTATTAAATTATTTATTTATATTTAATTTGACAACAAACCTTTGAGCTATTTGGAGTCGATTAAAAATGCGAACACGGAGAAATCAATGCATCTATTAAAAAGTACCAGGGTGTCATAACTCACTGGATCTACTTGGACGAGCGTGTTCGTTCGACACAGGCCCGTATGACTGCCAGCCCGTCGACCCTTACAGCTAATCGGCCACACACATAGGCCTCGTCCGTAGTCCGGATAGGCAGCACCTCAGTGTAAGTGTTGCCATTTGAAGATAATGCATCGCCGAGATACAGGTAGGCGTAGCTAAAAGACATAACAGGTAAAGTTTAGTTAAATATAACGATACAATTCATAATTTACCGATATTTTTATAGAAAGTTGCAGGGATTTTTGTATTTTTTTCTTATTTCATTAAACAAATTAAAAAAAAATATCATAATAAAATCTACAGCTACACGAGACATTAAATAACTAACAGGTAAAGGTGAATGAAGGCCAAACAATTTGTTAATTATTTTATGATCATATAAATTAAAAATACCCGATATCCTCACAGCTCTCCAATCCGAGTGGATCTTCAGGTGGTTCGCTGATGATGGAAAAGATAATACAATCCTTTGGGTCAGGAGACGTGGTGTTATCCTGGCGGTGATGTGCCATTTGCCCCACTACCACCACGTCGCTTTCGTTTATCGCAAAGGCTAAAATTTAAAATGGTTATAAATGATTTCTTTTTTTCTAAAATCTTTAGTTTTAAGAAGTTCAATGCGTACTGTGTGTCCTTTATTTTTTTATTAATTGTTGTTTAAGAAATAAATGAAAACTCAGTAGAATAATATGACATGTACAATTTGCACACGATCGTAGCAAAGCGCTACGGCGTAGGCTTAAGTGAAAGGCCACATAGTAGCTCTGTTTCTACTACTATACTACTTATGTAGTTTTAATATTATTTGAAGGATTTAGTATTCTATTAAAGGATACTGATAACGATTTTTTCATATTTTTTCGTAATACTTTATCCAAATTAATACAACGGACGAGAACCCTAAATGATTAGGAATTCAAGGGCCTCATAGCCTAGCGGTCTTATAAGCTGTTTGCTAGGCGACGGATATCGGGTTCGACTCCCGATCAGAGCGCAAGATTATTTCTATACATTTAAATTTGTTCTCTGCATTTAATAGGGTGGTACGGTACCGGGCGAGTGCTTAAACCGTACATGGCGGCAATGGTGGAATTTCCAAGGCATTCAGAAGGCATCAAAGCTTGGAAAAGAGACTATAAAGTTTAGGATGTATGTACACCCTGGGCCGAGGGTGGCAGAGTGGTCTAGTAATTCAACATCCTTTTTACGGGCCTCGCTTAACGGTCATATTCATGCTACCCTAGTACAATGAAATGCAAGTAATGCAAAATTTGTACGTACAAGTAATAAACATACAAACGAAAATAATTAACAATGTATGGCTACTTTACAGAAATCATCTGAAACAAAAAATACTTTTGACATTCAGCTTAATAAACTTACATTTCCTAAAATTAAAATGGCATTTATCCATAAAATTCCTCGGCTTTGGCAAACTACTAGGCGTTTCCATATCCGCACCGGCTTTGCCCAGAAATGCGAAAGCTACATATATACGCTTGACAATTGGATCGTTCATCGCTCGACACTCTTCGTTTAACGCTAGCCAAAGAATCGTTATATCCAAGGTGTTATTATCATCTGATAGTTTTCCCTAGGAAATAAAGGAATAGGTTTTAAAAAAAAGTGCGTGCGTATAAAGTACACATGTCAGAAGTGAAACTTCTTCGGAAAACTAATTTTTAAGTCTTGTTCATATTTATACCAATCTAAAACTTTAGATTTCCGAGACTTAAAGGGAGGGAAAAAGGAAGATATCTCAGGAATTTAATGAATTTAAATTTCGTTAAAATATTAAGTGTCGAAAAGTAGTAATACAAATTATAAATTTTTTTTTTTTAATTTATTTCTTAGATAATAAAAACGCGTGGCATTTTAATTTACGATGCATCATGTGAGATTTCAATAAATTATTTTGCTAAAAATATAAAATACTAATATTTCATAAATTCTATATACGAAATTTTAATTTTAAAAATAGAATTTCTATAAGGTAATTCGCCCTTCTCACTCTCTCTCTTTCTCTCAATCGGTCTCAATCGATCTCTCCCTTTTCTTCGAAAAAAAACGCTGCACATCTTCGTGACGCTAATATTATTATTAATATTACCTCATGCGCCTAAGTTTCACTTCCGTAAAGAATTGAAGTATTCCACACTACCTTAACACAGTAAAGTCTACACACGGTATAGCGGCAGCGATATCGATGCCTACGTTTTTGTATACATTTTCGATGTAGTTTTTGTGTTGCTTGAGGTTGCGAGAAACAAAAACTCATTATTGTGAATCGTTATTGGATCCGTAACTTCCAATAACGATTCAAAATTATGAGTTTTTAAGGCCGCTAATTCGAATTCATATTGTTGGGTCAAAAAAATAAAATATTAATATTAATAGATTTCTTACTAAGAGAAATAATGAAAGTAGAATAAAAACCGTGATATGAGAGCGTTCAGAAGTATGTGTGGTGTAACATTGCGAAATAGGATAAGTAATAGTGAGATACGTGAACAGTGGGTTAGAGAAAGACGTAATGACAACGATACGAATGGGAATGGTCAGGTGGCCATGTAGAACAGATGAATGAGAAACAGTTAACAATTAGGATATACAAGCCAATCGTGGGTGGTGTAGTCGGTTTGGGAAGACCTAGCTGGGACAAGTTAAAAGTACCCATAAACTATATGTTTCACGAAATGTATGTCACGAAAGTAGATGAAGCAAGTGAGGTATCTCAGGAACCGCGGAGAACTGCCAACTCCTTTAGGAAAACAATTATAATGCTATTTTGAAAGGTGAAATCGATTTATTTGGGCTAAATTTGATGATAAATGATTACGACTACTCACAATTAGCTGTGAAGTCGGCAAAGATGTTGGTCTTCGCGGTACTTTTTGCAGAATAGTCACCGACTTCTTGTGAAGTCCGTCCGCATGTTTTAAAGCACCTTAATTAGTAATTAAAGTTATTAGAATTGAGCGAATTCAAATTAAATTTAAACAAGAATTAACTCTTACTCGATCTCCGCCATTTCTTGGAGTTCATTATGTCGTAAATATTTTCTGAATCGTATGAATATTTCTGAGAAAAAAAACATAGTATAACTTAACTACTGAAATAAATAAGTGGCGCTACAACCTTCTTAGGCCTCAGATTTCTGAATCTGTTTCATGATGACTTGACAATCTAATAGGCAAGTAGGTGATGAGCCTCCTGTGCCTGACACACGCCGTCGACTGTTTGGGACTAATGTAGGCCGGTTTTCTAACGATATTTCCTTTCACCGTTCGATCGAATGTTAAATGAGCACATAGAAAGTACCTTGGGATAGCCGAGGATCGAACCTACGACCTCAAAGATGGGTGTTGCTGAAGCCACTAGGCCATCAATGCTCTAATTTTATTAATTATAATAAATAAATAAAATGTGTGCGTGTACTAGGTGTACACACGTAAGAAGTGAAACTTCTTTATGACCTTATTAGAAACTATTTCTTTAAACACAGTAAATTTTGATACACTCTGCCTAGCATACAATTTACAAATTAATTGCTGCAAATTGCGATTAGCAAATTTCAAGTCGAAAATGTAATCCGTTGTCAAACTTCAAAGTCAAAAACATACTATATGTCATATTTTAACGCCGATAAAGAAGTTTGACTTCAAAAAGCAACATGGCGCGTAACGGAAAAATGTGACGCGTAACGCAAAAATGTTACACTAAATTTTTTTCCAACCCCGATAAAGAAGTTTCACTTCAATAATATTTTCTCTATTGATTAATTTTTCTTTAATTTACGCCGCATTCAGAAACCAGGGCTAAATGTCTAAGTGTTTTTTTTTGGTGATTGTGTTTGAGTCATTATACATATATTGAAAAAAATATATTCCGCAACACCGACGCGTACATCGTAATCATTTGTACGCGTACGAGCACCCGATCTATAAAATCAGAGGTTCATAGCTTTACTTTAAAATAGTTAATAAAGTAAACTGTTGTTTTATGAATTTAACTGTTATGTTTTATGAATTATTCTAAAGTGAAGCTATGAACCTCTTTAAACTTTCGTGACATACCGATTCTGTTAGTTGTGTTTTACTCGTTCTACGCAGGTTGAGGTCCTGATCCAGGTGAAAATCCGAGTGATCATCATCAACTATCCTCTCCATGGATGACGGGTGATGATGGAAACTTGCGATGGTCTGATCAGAGGTAATAATCGTTTTCAAGATTGATATAATAATAATATGAAATTTAGTAAGAAAAAATAACATTCGGCGCATGATTCTCACCAATATATCAAAAGGGTTGTATTTGTTTGACAAAATTATTATTGGAATGCATTAACTACGCCCTAACCCATTGTAAGTAGTGAACTAATCTAGTAATCTATTCCTTCAAGAAAAGAGCGTACCAATTCATAAAGGGCCGGCAACTCACTTACGAGCGCTCTGGCATTGAGTGTCGATGGGCGGCGTCATCACTTAACATCAGATGAGACTCCTACCCATAAGAGTAATTTAATTTCAATTAATTGGCTATGTTATTTATTAAGATAATAAATGTATTTTTACCTGTGAGATGACGTCATTGATGACTCCCATCATGCTGGGTGGTACCCGCAGCATACACCACACATCTAACACCCCCAACTCCTCGTTCATTGTAAAGCTATTCATCGATGCCTCCTTATTCTTAATACCAGTACTGGAAATCTACATTCAGTGTCTTATAAATACCAAAAATATCTATATATCTTTATTCTTTTAATTTTAAACCGAGTAGATAAAAGACGTCATCAGTCTGACAAGTGTTTCCTAGCGTGTGGGAAATTTCGATACTGCATTTGTTGGGTACAAATTTCACGGAAACTTATTCATATCGTGATGATACCTACTTTTTAGGTGAGGTATATTTCAACATTCGGATCAAATTTCATCAAATAGGTTCAGTCATTTTTGATATATGGATATCCTCACGGTTCCTGAGTGTATTTATAAGGAAACCTATGTAAACAATAAGCCGTATTTGAAAACTATTTTATTTTTGAAATTACATTTACTATATTAAAATTTAAACTGTTAAGGAATAAGGAAAAAAGAAATACCAGGGCCAACGACATATCGACTCTTCTATTCGTGTGCAACAACGCGTCACGCAATGGCAGAAGGCAGCTCGCGAAGGGCTTTTTTTGATTGTCTATCTCACATACAATAATTGGCATCTCATCCTAGCAAAAAACTATTCACTAAGAAACTTTTCATTACGCAGCCGTTTTACCGACTCAACTCTAAAACGCGCTCGAACTGCGACGAACTCGGACGTTGGTACGCTTGCAAGTTGTACGTCATGAAACGTATACAAAACTTAAAAATGCGCACAAGGCTCAACGGCATGCCTAAGTTAAGGTCTTATTCGTACAGAAACGCACATGCTCAGGGAACAATTCATCAATAGAGAGTCTATACCAATAAGCAAGATTATTATAGGACAGCAGTGCGGCTTTTAGCTTTAGCGGCTTCAACGTGCACCGTTCGAGCATGTTCGTACGCCAAACGAAAAAAACGGTACGTCTCTAATGGAATAATCGAAGGCATGTGTCAGACAGAAGGCTGATCTACTTGTCTATGAAATAAAAATGATCAAAGATGATGCAATCTGAGCCCAAGAACCAATAACCATTAGGGATGTAGCACTGGATTATGATTATAGTGGTAGGTATAAAACAAATATGGAATAATGTCGTCTTGCACAACAAAACCTTTCAAAAATATACATTCCGGTTCTGATTTAAGAAAACTATTAATTTGCGTTTTCATAGGTACAACGCCATATTGCTGTTTGTTATATTTAACTGGCAGTAGTGAGTTTTATGTTGTATTTAATATATCAATCTGTATTTAACAAATGATGAAACTGTCGCCAGTTATTATTCTAAAATTCTTTTTATATTTATCTTTTGTGATAAAACAATGACAAATGATAAATTATTGTTATCATACATATATTAAACAGCATAAGAAAAACATAACGTAATATTTAATATGACTATATATGTCATTTAATATACTATATAACAAGGGAAAAGGGTAAAAAAACTTACATGTTTGAGATAATCTAGAAAGTTCTGAGATAGCCGTGTGTCATACTCCAGTGAGAAGTCAAAATGCATCACTCGTCCTGCGAGCTGATGGGTCATACTCGGTGGCTGATCGTAGAATCGCCAAGTTAACGCTAACGCTTTGCCACGGGAGCTTATCACTGCCTAATTGATATAGAAATAAATTGTTTAGTATTGTTTACATCATGATTAAGCGTACTACTAACATACTATAAGCGTACATTATATCAATGATATCAGGTGTATATAGATCAAACCATTAAAAAGCAGCACTACTTAGAATCGTTTATTAATATTTAACGGTTACTTAAGCAACTTAGAGATTGAAAATAAAGACTGGGTGTTCTATAAATATGCAAAAATAGTGGAAATTAGACTCTTTGTATTTGTGGTTACAAATAATAACAATAATAAAATTAAAAACAAAAACTAACAAAAAAATATTATTCGTCACAGAGGAAATATTTGTATTTTTGTATTTTTGTAACAAATAAACTCATAAACGCCTGGACCAATTTCAAATATATACAACCATAAGAATGGTACAATAACTCTGAAGAACATAGACTATATTCATTATTATTAACCATAGATTTTTGAAGGATTTGAAATATTCTGGTAAATTCGAATCCTGGAAGTTGGCTATTTTTCTTACAAGATAAACAAAAAAATAAAATAAACCTGATCAGACAAGATAACAGTCCCAACGTGTAGAGTGAACACGCATTTAGCAGATATACCTCCAACGCGCTCGTTCGCGTCGCATTTACGAAGGATCAGCCCACTTTTCCGAGTCAACATTTCGCTACCACGAATATCAAAGCCAGTTTGGTTGCCATTGCGATTATCCAGGCCTTGAGTATTTGACCCAAAGTCGCGAGTATCAAAGTTGATATTCTCTTTTGATTGATTCGATTATTAGGGCTGGAATTCGGACGATTTTGATCAGGTTTCGGGATGTCAATTGACTCTGTCATACAAGTTGCGTCTTGCGGTGTTTTCGAGGACTGTTTAATGAACATTTAATTAGTAATAAATACTGGCATACGTTTGTTAACGTACTATTCAAAGCATGTAACAATTAGACAAATTTAGATTCAGATTTCTGTATATGCTTAGGTTCGTACTCTAGAATTTCAATCAAACATAAATCTATTTTCAGGGGCTATCAAACAAACCATTTCTTCTGTATGAAGTTGGCTAGATTTAACAGCGCTGAAGACGAAATTGTAGACATTAGTATTTTTCTTAATAGGCAAGTAGTGTAGTCTGTATCTGACACTCGTTGACTTTTGTGTCTAAAAGAAGTCTAAGGGAAGCCGATTTGCCAATATTAATAGATCTACAAATTCACGACTTTTTGATATGATTCTTAAGTTGGCACATTTTTTGCACTTTTTTTTGGCTCTATCAACTGTTCGTTAACTGTTCTTCATTGTTCTATCAAAAGAAATTTTTGTTCGTTTTTTTTTTTTTAATTATAAAAAATTTACCCTCAATTTGGCACGAACTATAGATATTTTGATAGTTTTTTTTCTAATAGTTTAGAACTATTCAATAACTGTTCGTTCAAAATAAACAACTGTTCGGCTTTCATTATCCTGTAATTTAATAATAATTAACTTTTTTTTATAAATCTTAATTAAATGTTATTGCGCATTGATTATCGCTCTCGTGAAAATTCATATTAATTAATAGTTTCTCGATTTTAACCATGACGTGGATATATGTGGAGTATGGAGAGATAATAAACAAAATACTCCACTTTATACATAAGTATTATTTAAAAAAAATATTGTTTTATTTAACTAAAAGTGATTGATTACAGTTTTTAAACAAACATTCATCGTTTCTTCTGAGAAAGTTAGTATGAAATGTTGATAATATTGATATAACAATATTGTAGCATAATACTCTTTTTTATTTACTTTCGCAAATTTAATGAAAAATATATTATTATTTTTTGTAGACAAAGGAATGTATTTCATTAATTTTTTATTAATGAAACTCTTCAGTGATTTATTCCAAAATAAATTTCGTGAAGCAACTATGACATATTTCTTTGGTAATTTTGGGACCACGTGCTTCCACAATTTTTTACTTAAAATTGCTTGGTCAGTTTTAATTAATTGTCAGTTACAACAATATTATACATTTATTATAAAATAGTTTATCTACGTTTGAAATTTTAATCATTAAAGGCCAGTTTTTAATTCGGAATAAAACTAATTTGTTACAAAACTAATTTTTTGAAACTAATTTGTTACAAAAATTCAAGACATTGTCAAATATCTACTGATTGTGATATAATTTAGTTATTTTATTTAAATAAATGAGTAAAAAATAATATACATCGAAGCTAGATATCGTTTAATCATTGGTCTTATAAGTTTAACAAATATTTAATTTTATAAATAAATGTTAATATTAATATCAGAATTATTGTATTAATGAAGTGTACTGATTATTTTAGATTTGAAACCCTAAGTCAGTGAATCCACAAAAAACTCAATAGTTTTAAATTAAGGAACAAAAACAGGTCTGACAAATCTGTCTGACAGTGAAAAAAATAGCAGAGAAGTTGCGAGTACTTCTGCAGCCACATTATCTGCCTCCAACAGATATTAATTTTGAAGTAAAAATCTAAGGCCGTGGCCCCATGTCTACGGCACGGCACCGGCTACCGTGCAACGGCACGGCGCCGTGCCGCACCACGGTGCCGCGGGCGATGTGCGCGGGGGGCAATTCTCAGTCGATATTTCGCAGTTGTTGTACTCGGACGTGGTTATCTGGATATGGATCACGAAATTATTCTCCTGATGTTACTAAGACGACGAATGAAAAAAAAACAGAAACAGAGGAAATTTTGGGTAAATCCATATATTCTTACAATGAACCAAGATGGAGGTCATTTCAAAAGGAAATATGAAGCCCTAAAAATATGTGGGAATGAGAAATTTTTTGAATATTTTAGAATGACCATAACAAGTTTTGAACAACTATTTACCAAATTAGCACCTCGTTTACAAAAACAATACGTGTTCAGAAAACCACCACCGCCACCTGCGAAATATCGACTGAGAATTGCCCCCCGCGCACATCGCCCGCGGCACCGTGGTGCGGCACGGCGTCGTACCGTGTCACGGCGACGGCGCCGTGCCGTTGCACGGTAGCCGGTGCCGTGCCGTAGACATGGGGCCACGGCCTAAGTCAACTTATAACGTAAGTAGTACAGAATTTTTTTTTTAAAGTTTTCGTATTCGAAAATGAAATTATATTATCATCTTAAATGAATAATTAAAAATATTGACTGAGAATGAAAAAGAAATTGGTTCTAGAATATATTGTATCAATATATAAATATTAGGTCCTTACATATGAAATTGGCGTTTTACGTTTTGGCCACTTTGACCTCAAATATCTCCTCTTTGGTTAAGAATTCCAAATTAAAATTTGTACAGCTATTTACTCATGTATTTGTGCTTCGATGACCGTCATTCATTTGTTTTTTTCTGTTTGCGTCACTCATTTTACAAAATGGAAAACTTAAAGTATCTCATTATTTACGAGTACGAGTTCCGCCGTGGCACTAGTGCAGCGGAAACGACTCGAAGGATGAATGATGTGTATGGCGGTCATGTTGCAAAAGAAAACACAGTTCGTTTTTGGTTCCAACGTTTTCGTTCTGGAAATTTCGACCTGCAGAACAAGCCCCGTGGACGGCCTGAGACCCAAGTTGATAATGAAGTATTGAAGGCTATTGTGGAAGCGAATCCATCGCAAACCACGTCCGAGTTAGCTGCAGGCTGCGGTGTTAGTAATAAAACTGTTTTAATTCACTTGAAGCAAATTGGGAAGATTAAAAAGCTTGAAAGATGGGTACCTCACGAATTGACTGAAGCAAACCGGCAAACGCGCGTCGACTGCTGCGTTACATTACTGAACCGGGACAGTAATGAAGGTATTTTAAACCGAATTATTACCTGTGATGAAAAATGGATTCTTTACGATAATCGGAAGCGCTCAGCGCCATGGTTGGATCCTGGCCAGCCAGCCAAATCCTGCCCCAAGCGAAAATTAACCCCAAAAAAGTTACTTGTAAGCGTTTGGTGGACTAGTGCCGGTATTGTTCATTGCAGTTTTCTCAAATCTGGCCAGACTATTACGGCTGATGTCTATTGTCAGCAATTGCAAACCATGATGGAAAAGCTAGCGGCTTAACAACCTAGGCTGGTCAATCGCTCCACGCCACTGCTACTTCACGACAACGCTAGACCACACACTGCACAACAGACGGCTACCAAATTAGAAAAGCTTCAATTGCAATGTCTAAGACGTCCTCCGTACTCCCCGGACCTTGCTCCAACAGATTAACATTTTTTCGAAATTTGGACAACTTCTTGCAAGGGAAAAAATTTAACTCTGATGGGGCAGTCCAAATCGCCTTCACAGATTTTATTGATTCCCGTCCGACTGGTTTTTTTAGTAAAGGGATCAATGAACTACCTATGAGATGGCAAAAGTGCATAGAAAACAATGGTTCATACTTTGATTAATTAAATATATTATATTTAAAAATATTCGACTTTTTGTTCCTCCCATACAAAACGCCAATTTCATATGTAAGGACCTAATATATAGTTTGCATGGGACTAATCCTTTTCTATTTTTCTCAATCAATATATTTAATCAGGAATGTTAAAAGAATGGATAAGTACAAGAAATACGACTTTAGATGTTAAGAAAGAGTTCATTTTGTTTGTATAAAATAACAAAATATAAATGAAAGTAAATACCGGGTGATGATGATGATTTTGTTGTTGCTGCTGTTATTGTTGTGTTGTCTCTTTGAATGGAATTCAAATAGGCCGCGCATAATTTATGAGAACTATGCGCATTGATACTGCGCATGCGCAATAACATTTAATTAAGATTTATAAAAAAAAGTTATTTAATATTAATTTACAGGATAATGAAAGCCGAACAGTTGTTTATTTTGAACGAACAGTTATTGAATAGTTCTAAACTATTAGAAAAAAAAAATATATCAAAATATCTATAGTTCGTGCCAAATTGAGGGTCAATTTTTTTATAATAAAAAAAAAACGAACAAAAAAAATGTTGGATAGTACAATGAAGAACAGTTAACGAACAGTTGATAGAGCCAAAAAAAAGTGCAAAAAAAATTAATTTCCCCCCGCCAACTTAAGAGAGCCCTTTTTGATTTAGTTCATCGGGTATTTACCATATTTATGACGATTTATATAAATATTGATTGTAAAATAAAATATAAATCATACTACATTTATTTAAAAATACATTTATTTATCTCATATTTTCTAACTACATAATATTTATATAGGTGCATGTACAATTATTACTAAACTACGTTACTATATACAAAATATTATCTCAAAATTCTCAGTTCCCATATCCATTTTCTCAAATACGAATCGTAGAACTACTCTAGTGTGACTTTTGTAAAATTATAAGCAGCGTACCAGATATATAAACTGAGTCGTGCATATACCATTAAACAGGACGGTAAAAGAATCACTATACAACTTTTGTACGCCATGCAAGCCAGACTCTTCTGGTCTACTAATTTATTTTCTGGCATCACAGAAAATGTCATACGTAGCAAAACTCTTAAGCTCGTTCCAAAACATGTATCAAGATTTCAGCGCTGTCAAAATTGCGAAACTTGGTAAATGTGTTTCAGAAATTTGTACTTGAATGAATACGAATTAGTCTCTGCGGAAAGAGAACAGTCGTGGTATATAAATCGCAGCTGTGCTAGTTCGACAGTAATCATCTTGATACCATGAACCGATTTCAATCAAATTTGCATCAATTGCAGTTTCATCTAACTTAAAAGATAGGATATCTTACATCTCAATTAATATTGCAAATTATTTGTTTATTATTTAACAGTCACAATTTAAAATATAAATTATTTTTCTATGTAAAGAGAAAAAAACAAAGAGTTCGGCTTGGAATCTAAGATTAAGGTAGGGTAAGAGTTATCTCATTAAAAGATAATGCGCGAGTTATTGCGCATAAGGAATGAACTACTGACCAGCCAGGTCTCGAACCTCGGTTCTAACATTATTGTAAATGCATTATTGCTTGTATAATAATAAAAAATTTATTAAAATTAGATAAAAATTAGAAACACAATATTTCAACTACCTACAATACCTACTGTTAAGTATACAAAATATTTATTCACAATTTAATATTAAAAAGTAATTGTTTTCTATGAGAATACATTTTTAGCACCAATTAATAGTCAATTACCTCGTGTGAGGATTGCATCTGTAACAAATGCCTACATCTCGACAACTCTTCGCTGATCGCACGCAATGTGTCCTCCATTTTTTCTGAAGTCGATGTATCTCTAAAAATATATTTTAAAAAAAATTGTAAAATTAAAATACTAATTCAGACTACAAAGACTAGAAAAAAAGTACACTAGAAAGTGAGGGTAGGCTTGTCGCTGAAAATTATTCTACCCCCCAAAACATAGTGACTGGTGGCTGTATACTTAGACATAATAATTTTAATTAGAACAATACTTTAGTAGGATTTAAAAGGCCCATCTAGGCTTAATATAATATGCTTTACATGTTACCATGGATACAATATTTTCATGCAAAACGTGCAAAACAAAACATATTTAACACACTTTTCACCTAACTCAAGAGTTGTCCATTATCTCTTACTAGACGTAAATGTCACAAAATCATGGCGCAAATCATGACTTCAAAATAGACATTATTTAGGTGCATTGAAAATAAAAAAACCGTGTGGCACTCGGGGACTGACACGGTTAAGCTATTGCATAGCATTTTTATTAATTATGCAATTATAATTATTTATTTTTTTATTTTTTTATCTATGCAGTATTTTTATTCTTTGATATTAGTTCCAGTTCTTTCTTTGATATTAATTCAATCTACCACTCTACCAAGTCAGAGAGATGTGAATACGCAGCATGCGTTCTGTCCCACTCTAACGCACCTGCGCTACGTCACCGATCAAGCCAGAGTGATGCGAGACGCAGTATACGTTCTGTCCCGCTCTAACGCGTATTGACCGCGCCAATATTACGTCATCGTGTTAGGTTTATTTTCGTTACGGAATTTCTTGATTCGGTCGCCGCGCTCAAAGCCCGCGATAAAATCTATGCAATAGCTTAACAATGAAAATACAACAGAATTTGTTTGCAAAGTAACAAAGGCCGTTAAACAACAGGTTAAGGGCACAGGAAAATGCCTTAAAATCTACGCAGTTTTTACGTATGCAAATATAAATGCGAAACTTACCGACGTCGCAAATTGACATCAGGAGGCGCTTCACCAATCGAAGGCCGTTTACCTGAAATTTATATAAATATAAATAAAAAAAAAAATAAATAAACTACCACCATTCGGATGCGGCTATTTATTTGCCAAGATCAAACGTCCTTCATTTTAAATTTATCCACGACTTCAGCGGAAACATTCGGGGACTTTAAACTTAAACGGTTCATTTGAAATATGTCATTTTTTAGAAAGAAGAATAATAAAAAAGAAAAAAATAAAATAATGAAGCATACAAGTCATTTACATAAGTAATTGTTAAACTTTATTTGCCAAGATGTGTACAAAATCCGCCGCACAATCAGCATATTTAAATAGCCCAAAGCATAATAAGAAGTCAAGTCATTTATAAGTAATTGTTAAACCTATGTTCTAAAATATTCGGTCACGCTATAAAAGCACCAAAAACCTAATCACCTTCCCTTTGAAAACATTACATGGCAGCGATCTATAATTTTTAGGAAGGTGATTAAATATTCTCACAGCCATGGCGTAACAATTTTTGGAGTATAGCGCGGTGCAACATGCAGGCACCCGCAGCCGTGTTGGATCCCTCGGTATACACAAGCATGTTTCTTTGTACGTTTTAAATAATTGTGGATGCTTATTGACAGTCATAACTGCTTCAAATATATACAAACTTGGTACTGTCAGAATACCGAGTTCGTGGAAAATTGGTCTACAGCTTATAAGAGCTTATTTTCTAAATTAAAAAATATAGTTTCCTGTAATATAGAATTTTATTTATTTGTAGTTATTTTAATGAATCAATTTGAAATTTGTAGAAAATTAATATTAGTTTTGTTTGACATCTTTCATTTCACTTTGTGTTTTGTATGTGCACAGAAAGTATATATTTTTAAGAGATTCGATTTAAATGTTAATGACATTATGAATTAAAAAATAACTACTCCTTAAAACTATTGAAGTCTTTATTTTTATTGCAATTATATATAAAGGTTATATAGAATCTCAGTTAATCATTCACCTGTTTATGGACCGGTTGTTTTTCTAAAAATGATTATATATTACAATTTGGCTATCTAGCTTTATATAGAAGATATAAAAACTTCAAAACTTACGTCCAGAAATCGGTACTTCGCCTTCACTGAGCGACCCGTAGTCCGTAGTTGAGCGTGGCGTTTCGTCGCTTTGTGTATATGTGCCCTTATCTTCACCTAGAGACGTTTGCGCACTTACAGCTGAAATTGAGAGAATTCGAAAATATGTAGAATACAAAACCTCAGAAGGTATGTATGTATATCGACAGTTTTCATTATATATGCTCAATCAACAAGTAGAGTATATCACATATATAGCGTATTATATTAAATTAATAGTATTAACATATGTCAGGTGCAGAACGTATCACCTCGCTGATAAAAGAAAAAAAAATTGAAACTTTACACTTTTATAATTTAAATTAAAAATAAATTAAATTAATAAAAAATCATGGCTAATTAAAATATAAAGTTATTTATCATCTGATTAAAAACGTATTAATTTGGATTACACAAAAGATTGATTTGGAAAAAAAAACCATTTGGTATCTGTTTTTTTTAATTTTTAATTTTAAATAACATACACGTAGATCGAAATAAAATACCTTCTCTTTCCGAAGGTAAATCCGTCAAAGAGGATACTTCACAGCCTGTTGTGTTGGGTGACATCGTGTCCAATATTGCCTCACCCTGTAGAACAAATGTACCGTGTGGCGTTGATGGTTTACGAACATAAGTTTGGGAATCTTTAACACCTGAAAAAATGTAAATCGCTGTATAATGAAACCGTTAAAAATTATTATTAATCGCTTTAAGGCGAAACATATATTTTATACAAAGTGTATTGCAAAATTTTAAATCGCTTGCCCCGGGAAACTAAGTCGTAAACAATATTTCCTCATTTTTGACTTCAGACTTTAGTATTTTCGCAATAAATTATATAAGAAAAACATACGAGGATATCTTTATTCTACGGAAATTATTTAGTGCATAATACCTTTTTAATAGTGAGCAACAACCATAAATATAGTTTTAGTTTAGATTGGAATTCTACTAAATTATCATAAAAGTTAATGCGATACTTTACAAAAACAAATAAAGACTAGTAATAATATATCTCTGTTTCAGCAAAGTCATAATAGTCCAAAATTTAATTTTAGCCTTACCTTTTTTTAGGAGAATTTTATTTTTTTGATGTGTAGAGGGTCGTTAAAGTAAAAAAAGTTTGTGGTCGCCACCCTTTCCACCATCTTGGAAAAGGGGTCAAAACACGTTTTTGCTATATCTCTAAATATCATTACATAAAACTTGTAAAGACACATTTTGTACAAATCGCTGTGCCTAAATTATGTCTGTGTAACTTTTATCATAAATCCAAAATTCAAAAAGTTATAAGTAAAAAGTGAAAATATTTTCTATTTCTAAAGTTGACTAGGTGCGTCAATGCTCATGACAAGCCGATCAAAACAGCAGTTTTACCTTACTTTTAAGATCTCTCGTTTATTTTAAACAAATTTTCCAAATATTTTTTTTATTCCTACAATTTTACTTATTGGTATTCCTAGTAGGCCTATTCCACAGACAACTTGCTGATATGGTAATCTTCGACTTGGATCTTCGATCTTGGATATGGATCTTGGATATTATCAATCAGTTATTAGAATGGTAGCAAGCTATCACTTTTTTATTTATAACTTTTTAAATTTTGGATTTATGATAAAAAGTTATATAGACATAATCGTAGACACAGCGATTTGCTACAAAATGTGTCTTTACAAGTTTTATGTACGATGGATAGTTTAGGAGATATAGCCAAAAACGTAGTTTTTGACCGACTCCTTTACCAAGATCGCCGCCGGGGACAAGCACCCAACCCCACAAACTTGGAGTTAAGCTTGTATTGACCCCCTACATGTTCCATAAATAAAATTGCGTCCTCTAAAAAACACAACCCCAAATGTAACTTTTCAATGGACTATAATATTCCCGCCAAAAGAGTGGTAATAAATTATTACGTTCTAGACATTCGTCAAAATTACCGTCGTAATGTGCGGTTACTGTGTCCATAATTATGTTTCACTGTTTGTCAAATTACTGTAATGTACGAGTATATGTATTTAGTAACTTTTAACTATTTATACTTAATACATAATAAAATGTTTAAATCGACAAATAGGAAAAACCTAGCCTTCATTTGATATATATAAATATATACATATTTGTATATGTAATGTACAATGTACATAGTATCCTAGTAATAACAGAATTACATTATTTTATTTTCCTGATTAAAATAGATTTTGCTTTTACGACTTTGTTCCCCGGGGAAGCGATTAATAATTTAAAAAATAATATTTAATTAAGAAATAAGCCGAACGACGAGGCGCCAATATCGATTCAATCTAAATAGAATGCTAACAAATTAAGCTTTCTTAAGCTAACATACACCTTTTAATATAAGTAAGTTAATTCAAAACCTTTCATTTCCAGAGATAAATTATCGGCACAATTACACTTCCGAAACTTGCTGTTAGAGGTCGTGGTTGTGAAGCGAAGTGAACCACTACACGAACGGAACATTGACGTACCACGACGGGCGGACTCCGGACAAGTGCACACGCGGACTGATTGCTCACATATTTCTAATCACAACAAAATTTTGTGTATTTATTTATTAAAATTAAAACATACAGTAGTGTCGAATATAGAATTAAAATTCCTTAAAAATATAAAGAATGATAATAGAAAAAGTTACAACATTTAGTATGGTTTACTATACGAAAGCTTGTCAAATGGGTTTTTGTCTGTTAAGTTCCAATACCCCACGAGGCAGAGCTCTTCGAAAAATCTATTGTCTCTATCTTATTATCGAATTTATTAACAGATACATAGATAGGGGTTCTAGCCCCCATAATATATATATTATTTAAAATTTATTAGCTATGTATAAAAGTTTGCGTTAAAACTAAATAAAAGACTTTAATTTTATATAGAACAACATCGTAACCATGGTAACAGCACACCTCTAACTTTAATCCACGTTTTATAATTTGACCACGCATGTCTAATATACAATACAAAATAGACTTTTCGTTGGTTTATCTTAGAAATATGCACTTATAACCTTTTCAAGCAGAAATATTTTTTTAAATAAAAAAGAAAGTACACTTACCAAGGCGATTCTTCTCTAATAAGGACAATGCTGTCTCATCAGTATGAACACCAGTCTCTTTAAACCTATCCAAAGGCAACTCTATAGGATCAACACCGGTCGACACAAACTGCCTATCAATTTCCGTAGATTCGATTTGTGATATCGAAGTTTTCTTTATATTCGATAGACCTGTCAAATTATTATTTTCTTTATAATTATCTCTCTCTTTTTGAAAGTCATCAATCGATGCTTTTCTATCTATCTCATGAAACGGTTTAGAGACAAGTTTACCATCAATTTTAGTTATCATTTCTTTTGTGAAGTGAAAACTATCGTTTGGTTTATCAGCGTTTTTTTCATCATCATCTTTTCTATATGTTTTGTTTCCTTCGCTAGATTCGTTAACGTCGCTTAAATCGAGTTTAGGTACATCTTTGTTATTAAAAATGTCTTTTTCACAATTCTGTTCAATCGTATAGTTTTCTTTATCAGAATTGCATTTTTCTTTATCTTTTATATCAGATAATGAACGATTATCACAGATAGAAGAACCTGCATCACTTCTGTCATAGTCCTTGCACCATTCTTGTGTGCTTTTGAAAGAATTAAGTCGATTTGTCCTTATAAGAAAATCGCGATCACCGGGCACCGGTGGACTGAAAATTTAACTTTTAGCTTTATTTTTAACTTAAAAAAGTAATCAGTTTTAACCTTGTAGTTGGATAATAATTTAGTTTAATGATCAAATTTTTTACTTTCAGAAATTTCTCGAAAATCTTTCATTTAATCAAGTTAAACTATAAGGCCATAATATTATAATTCGTATCAAGTCAACTATCTCGTCTTTAACGCTGTCAAATATGTCAAACTTCATACAGAGATAATGGATTAACTTTGACGTCAATCAAATTCTAGAATACAGGCCCAAGTTTTATCAAAATCGGTGTAGTAGATTTGAGATATTCGCACTTAATTAAATAATGAAACTACTTTTATTCCCTATAATTTAATCCGTTATTAAAACACTTACTTTGTAAAGTCATCTTTTTTACTGCATGATGGTCTTTCCAAACAAGACTTTCTTCTTAGTAAAATGGATTCGTCAAAATCAATGTCGCGATTTTCTCCCTAAGTAAAACAATTATTATCTCAAAAAAGTGCGTGCGTACAAAGTACACATGTCAGAAACTTCTTTGGTAAACTAATTCTTGAATTTTGGTAAAAGTCTTGTTCCTATTTATACAATGTAAAACTAAGTTAAAATTAAAAGTTTTAAACTCTCTCTCTCTCAATCTTTCTCACTATAGCTCTCTCCCACCTCTCGCTCCAATGCACGGTGCGTGATGCGACGTTCTCTCTCACTCTCCCACTCAATCATTCGTACTTGCTTGCTCCCTACTCTCGCTCCATGCCTATTTGGTTCATGCTACGTTCATCCTTTTTCACACGGTCTCAATCGTTCTCACCCTTTTCTTCGACAAAACGCTGCAAATCTTCGTGACACTAATATTATTATTATTGCGTTTCATCCGTAAAAAATGTACCCTCATCTGCTAAAAGAAGTTTCACTTCAAAAATAAATTTCTTAACTTGACTCCTTAACTTAACACTCAGATAATAATTTCGTATGTCAAATCAAGGTTTTTGACATATATGAGTCAGTAGCACTATTTCTCGAATGTTAATCTTAGGTACGATTCTACCAAAATAGTTTGCGGCACATTTGTTTACAAACATTTTGTGCAAAACAATAGCAGAACACATACTAAGCGCGTATCGCGTTTGGCTTCAATCTCCACCGGCAATGCCGTGTGTAACTTTTGTGCGTGCACAGTGTTCCACGCTTGTTCACTGAAAATATTTTCTGCCGACAGTTGCTAATATGGACGGGCAGGAAAACGTTGTGCTTTGTAATATATTCTTGGTCAAAAAATTACTTGGCATAGTGCGTGCACAATTAAATGTGTTCGCTTTGGTCCATAAATGAAGCAAGAATGAGTTAGCGAACGAGTGTGCGCGCGTGTGTCGACACGAGTCCACTACTTGTACCGTGTGCACGCACACAAGTGCACAGTTGTGTTAAAATTACACTTGTGCCCTACGCTGTGCAGTACTGTGGCGCACAGATCAGCACACTGGTGGAATCGTACCTTTACCCTATGAGGCATAAAACAATAGGTGGATATTAAAATATCATTTAATTTACAAAAACTCTAAATAATGAAATTGTCAATCTGTATGGAATTGGACTCACAAGCGACTGTTTCAAGTTGTCCAACTGCTCTTGAAGAGCGGAAATTTCATTCACGACTTTGATATCCTTTTTGGTTGACTCCTATAATACAAACGTTTTACTTAGTATAAACGGGTATTAGGTTTCCTAGGCACAAATAAAAATTTAATTCAAAGAAATTATATTCACAAGCTAAACTTTAAAATAATAATATTTTTATAGGTTATTTTTGTAATAAAGGGATAAAGAGGAGCTCATGGACGCCCATTTTTGTAAATGCGTTGCCGGCCTTTAAGGAAGCAGTATGTTCTACTTTTTAAACAATTGGAGGTATCCGCTTCTCGCTTTTATTTATTTTATCGATATCAGTATAATCATAAGAAATATTTAATAAATTATAACCTTTCTATATTTATATGTATTTTTTGAAGTGAAACTTCTTTATCGGGGTTGGAAAAAAATTTACCGTCAGATTTTTCGGTTACGCGTATATTTTTCTTGTCCCTAACACGGGTGATTCGAAGTCATTTATAACGATAACAATTGTAGTAATAATTCTATTACAATTAATGAAATTCTGTAATAATCTTAGTAGTAACAACAACAAGGTAAAAAATTAAGATATTTGTATTCATATCTATGATAATAAAAGCCTTTTGTTAAACTTTATCTAATTTAACTTTATTTAACCAATTTCTGTAAAGTTGCATATAGTAGATCATTTTTCGAAAAATAAGGTCATAAAGAAGTTTCACTTCTTACGTGTGTACACTAGTACACGCACACATTTTTTTTTATTTAGAAGCCATCTTATAGATTAGGCTTAGATATTTTAATTATATGATGTCAGTTAAAAAAACTAACCTCACAAGAAGCATTGCTATTATCAGTGTACCCTGAATCATCTGAAGGTCGATTAATAAATTTTTCCGAACTCGCTTCTGATACTTTGTCCGTTTGAGATGAAATAGAATTATTGGGAACTATTAGTTGGAACTGGCAATGATACTGAAAAATCGATATATTTACCAATACGTATGTAGAAAGTATGGTGCGTGGTGAGATTTTTCTTCCTTATCGCAATATAGTATTACATCTATGTATTATATGCCTTACCATCAAAATATTGTTAGTGTTAGTACAATTATCGAAGTAAAAATATGTATTTCTTTATTGACGAGTTATAAGTGTACATATGTTACCTATATGATTAAATGATTTTTTTACTTTGAAGCATTGCCCAAATGAGCCAGAAAGGCGGTCGGACTGTAAAGCTCCAAATTATATACTGTAAGGAATAGAATAGAATAGAAATATGTTTATTTCCCTAGTTCTTATGTTACATTATGTCCACAGGTCGATGGTGTATTCGGCCTGTGGGTGTGTCAGCTACTTACAGACTACATATGTTTGTCTCAAGAGATCTATATAAGTGTCGTGCAGTGTGTGCTGTGAGCTTGTTAAATTGTACAGAATAAATTTATAATGTTGTTATATATTGTCTTATCCTACTTACAGCTAATTATAATTTATGGGGACGGAGCAGTCGTTCCTTGCTGAGCACCGACTCCTGTCTTTTTTGATACATAATCTTTTCACCTAATCTAGTGTTAGTTAGTAGGGGGTTGTGCTGTCCGTATCCGAGGTAGGCTCCACCAGGAGTCTCTAGATCCTCGATTCATCTCACGAGTGACCAGCATATCCTCGTTTAGGTCTTGTCACGGAGATGCCATGGATCCCAATCTAGCATATCCCAAGTATCGAGGTTTCTAGGCGTCTTGGGAATTGTCCGCTGGTTTTGAGACCATTCATATTGGCGTTCAATTTTTAGTAAATTGCTCTTACTGTAACTGAGAGCAATTGTACTACGCCATAATCAAAATAGGAAGTAGGCAGGCCTGTATTACTGCAAGTTTAACAGTCATATCCGTTTTGGCTGCCATCCTTGATAGGGGCCAGTCCACGAGCCCGTCGCGCCTTCTGCACGACTGATCCGTCTGTTTGCCCATGCTCATTGTCTTGTCGAAGTGTACGCCCAGATATTTGATGCTTCTTTTATATTCAATTATGTCCTCTTTAATTCGGATGGTTCTGCGGTACTTTTTCTTGTGAGTGAACATAGCACACTCCGTTTTGTCCACGTTACATTTTAACCCCCAGCGACCGGAATCGAGTCCGTCAGTAACAGGTAGTCACTATCACTTTGTACCTGGTGAGGAAAGAATTGCCACCGAGTTGAGGGCGTCTGCTTTGATTTTGTCTGGGCCAGGCCTTCTTATTCTTAAAGCGTCTCACGCGAATTTGATTTCCTCTATGGAGGTAGGATCGAGAGGCTGGAACGGTGTGGTCTTCTCTGTGCTTTTATCTTCGTTGTTTATTTCAGCTTCGGTGACGATCGCCGCGTCAACCAGTGCGTCGATGGTTTCTTTCTCACTGTTGCAACCCTCAATTGAGGGAGTCTCTGTACTGGAGCCTTTAGGTTGCGTTGAATTCGCCACATCTGGGTTCTGTTGTTTTGTGGATCATTTATTATCCGTGTCCATTTTTCGCTGCTATATTCCACGAGCGCCTGTTGGACCTGGCGTTTCAAACTATTGTAGATTCTTTTTTGTTCCGTTATTCTGTTATGGTTGAAACGCAGTCGCCATGCTTTACGTTTAGCTTGGTTTCTTTTGGTAATTAATTCATTAATCTCTTTGGGAGTTGACCTCTTCTGTTGTTTTCATGTAGTGGCGCATACTCATCCAAAGTTTCTGTGATGGCTTTTTCTAGTTTAAGTATATATAATTCGCATTGTGCGTCGGTTATGATTTCTTTTGGTAGGTGCGTTGTTTTATTCCAAAGGGTTTGTTGGAATTGTTGTCTGATTTCTTCATTGTTTGCAATAGCGCGAGTATTTCTTACCAGTGTTTTCTCTCTGTCCACTACTATGTTAGGTCTAGTAGCCAGGGCATATGATCGGAGCCAACCGGTGTTATTTGTCGGCATGTTATGGTGTCAAAAGCTTGCGCATCGTGTGAAAAGATGGCTGCATCGAGGATGCCATAGCCCGCACTGTTTGGTCGCGAGGGTAGGCAAGTGTGGTGTATGGTGCAGACGTCGGATTTACAGAGGTCGCGGACTAGTATTCCCGCCCCTTCGTCTCTCGTCTGGTTGAGTGCGGTCATTTTAAGGTTGAGATCCCCTATGGTGATATTTGGAGCTTCGGTTATAATGTCTTCTAGCTCATCATTAAGCGTTGCAGCATCGAAGTGCTCTGATCTGTGCGGTATGTATATCCCCTTAATTTTCAGGGAATCTCCGGTCAAGTGATCATAAGTGAGGTTGATAGCGACGCCTTCGATGAGGCGGTCTCTTTCTTCAGTACCTGGGGTTACGTCGGTCTGACTCCAGCGTAGTCCTCGCATCACGTACATGGCTGTAGTTAGATGCGACGCGATCGAGTGCGTAATCTTATCGTAGTTTATAAGATTCATGTGGATTTTGGTAAAATCCACCCGAATTCTTGATACGATTATGTGAGGTTTGTAACGGCCAGCTAAAATTTTAGTCGAGGAATTTACTTTTAGCCTTGCGCATTAAGGTGCAATATGCGCAACTTATGATATTGATTTCTTGGATTATTTGTTGAGAATTTTTATTAAATTTCATGTTGGAGCTGAAGCTGATGTAATATTTGTTTCATGGTTGTTTGTAGCTCTTGCTCTAGGGTTTCATGCTGGTTTCTTTGTTTTCTGTGCGTTCATCCAGTTGCTTGTTGGCTGGTTCTGTGATTGTGATTGGGGCGCCTGCTTGGGAGCGGTGGAAATTGTGAATTTGAGGTTATGTTCATATACGAAAGTTTTCCTGTCGGTATTTCAGTGCTGCGTATGCATTCTCTCATCTCTCTTTTTCCTTTCTTTTTCTTCGTTTGTGCCAGTTGACGGTTCACTGCCTTCTGAACTTTTCGCATTTGGCTTGGTTGGCCCCATGGCCTGGTTTTTGCATGCTGTGCATATTTCTATATCTATGCCTTCTTCGTTTTGAATTATGAAGGTGGGGTGTTTCTTCTCACCGTGACACGCCATTCGCATCGTGAAGAGGAAACATTTCTTACATTGTACTACTCTCCTGGGGTCGTCTTTGTATTCTTGAGGTTTCATGCTGAAGGCTCCAAATACGCATGCTTTGTTGTCTTCATAAGCGTGGCGATTTCATCGTATGTGTGGGCACCATCAAAGATAAACAATTGTAGGTTACCCTTAATTGTTCTCATTTTGATCGGTCTCACCAATACCTCTCCATTTCCTCAAGGCATGAGTCATTCGTCTCATCGTAGATGTTCGTGATGAGCACAACCTTTGTCTGATGGGTCTGCTGGGCTTTGGGGACCTCCACAAAGCGGAGCCCTCAAGTTTACTTAACTCTTCTATAATTATTTTCCTTGTGTCCGCGGTGTAAACGCGGATTGTGATGGTCCTCTTGTTACCAGCCATAGCGTATCTTGCTCCATGTCTGTGGTTATTTTTCTAATTTTGTTAAGGTATTCCGGATCGTTGATTTTCTTGACATCTGTTATGATTATGTCGGGGATGTGAGTGGATGATGTGATCACTCTCGGTTGTCGCTGGGTCCTGTCGAGTTGGGAGTAACGGCACCTCTCTTTCTCTTCTTGCGTTTGGGTGAGGTGAATGACGCATAGTCATTTTCTCTTTCGATTTCGTCTTTGTGCTCCTCTTCGGTGGAGAGCGAGGAAAAACGGTTGCTTGTTGTTATGCTGGGCTTCGAGTTGGTGGTCGGGCTGCGCCCACCCGCGCTGTCGCGTGGCCAAACTGAGTCGAGGGGTCAGCAAAAGGCGTATCATATGTCATTCTTCGCGCGCAACGAGGGTGACATTCGAGCTCCGTGAAAGTTCGCTTCCTTAGTTTTGTTTTCGTGGCACCAGTGGTTACTCTGCCGGGCGCCGTCTCAGAAATCGCGCCACCAAATGTAACGCGGTGTCCGGCGAGTAGGGTGGTCACCCACACACATGCTCAGCCCTTTACTTCGGGTCCTGGGTACCTCTCTACGATACTATTTTGTTCACTTACCGCATTACAGGTACGTTCTCTTCACTTTCAAGTCTATAATTGGCATGTACTTAACATTTAACTGCCCGTTGCACTTGCGACAGTCTGTTTTATTTATTTTGCAGAAATTTATATTACACGAATATATATTTATTTCATTTACGCTGTTCACTAAGTGTCCGTTTGAAATATTTACTGAAGTTTTTATAAAACATTTCACGGCACTTCTCTTTTACAAAATCTACAAGTTAATGTTTTAATCTTACTTTGGAGTCCTTGCCATTCATGGAATTTTTTAATTAGGTTAATTTTTGCGCAGTGCCAACAAGTAACTGCGTATTGTCCTTCTTTGTCCGGGGAAAGTTCACTTACACTAGCTAATTTATAGTAACTTTTGTTTTTATTATTGACAGTTGCACTGTTCGTGTCCATTTCACTATTTTTCTGGAGGGCCCAAAGGGCCTCCCGAAATATCCACATTCATATAAACGCGAACCAATGTGGGTAATTTATAAAAATATTGAGTTACTCGAGACGCGGAGCGCGAGTATATGATTATATACAGTAAGGCTATGTTCAGATGGCAAAAACTTGACGCGCGTTTTCAAATCGCGCGACTAGACATTGTGGTATTTTCATACAACTGTTCACATGAGCGCGAAAAAGTCTCTAGACGCAGGTGATCGCGCGCTTTGATATTAATGTAATATCCGTATGCTGTTCAGTTAAGCGCGCGCTTTCATCGCGATCGCATGTAATTTTGTTAATTTTCGTAATTATATTTATAACAAACTGGGTCTATTTTTCAAAATTGGATGAACCCACGTTTGTTGTTGACACGTGTACGTTTTCTTTTTCTATATTTTTCTTTATAATATAACCACAAAATAATAGCCTCTTCCACGTCCATTTTCTACGTTCTACCGAACTAGACTGACGAGTACTCTCGCAACGCGCATTAGCGCTCATCATCTGAACTCTCTTCAAATTTGATCGCGCGTTAACGCGCGTTACATGTGAACATAGCCTTATACAAGAAATAAATAAAAAATATTTCAAAGAAAATCGTTGTAATATTCTTAACATATTTTCCACCAGTGCACATGCTCTACTAGGGATAAAAAGATCGCTTTTGTACTTACCATAGAACTGTTGTCGATACTTTGAGCTGACATATCGCGTTTTACTTTTGTATCCACTTCCTCCTTTTTTAACTGTAATACATAAAATAAAAATTCCTTAAATAAATCCATTTTGAATTATCACTATTTTGTATGATACAATGAAGTCCATCCTGGGACGCATAGGCCAATTGAGTGGAAGAGAGATAGATGCGCCGCAAGCGTACAATTGGCGAAACGGGACAATGAGTGTAACGGGACAATGAGTGTAACGGGACAATGAGTGTAACGGGTCAAATGAGTGTAACGGGAACGATGAGTCCCTGATGCTTTTTCGTGCGTGCAGCCGGCGTTCATAGATTTATTGGATAAATTGTCGCGTCAAGAACTAAAAAAATATATCTCACATTTAATCCGGCTAGGTGTTGTTCAACAGCCGTAGCTATTGCGGACGACATATCCAAAGCCTTCGATTGCATCTCTAGTTCCGCCGACCGACTTCTCTCTATCTTTAATTGGACTGTCAAATGCTCTGAAATAAAAAATTAAACAACAATTCAAAAGATTTTGCTTATTTATTCCCTAAGGGATGAGGATGGGTTCACCCTAAGGGATGGGTCAAAAATTGCATTCTATTTATTCATAATTTGGTATTAAATAACCCATAATTTACATATATATACTGACCACAAAAAGTTTACTCAAAAACACAAATTGCCTTAAACACATACAAATGAATGTTTTCGTGGTCTTTGTGTCAAATAAAAGTTATCTACATTTAATTAGCTAATTATAAATTGGGGTATTTTTTTTGCCTTTTAAAAATAACTTAGCAATAACGCCATTGCTCTATTAAAAAAAATTGCACAATAATTATTTTTTAACATATTTAATGTTTCAAGAAATAAGCCAATAATAAAAAAAGAATAAGCTAAGCTAAAAACTTATAATTATTAATATTTACCACATTGGGCCTCGCACTTCCTCAACCTTTGCAATAAATCTGAAATCTCCCCACTTTGTCGTTCCATACGATGTTCGCTAGACGTAGACTCCGAACGTACGCGTACGTTCTCAGTATTGAGACGCGTCATTTCATCTTCCAACTTTTTTATACGCGACGCATATTCTTCGTGCGTTTGCGATAGCTCCTGTAATATTTCGCCAAAAGCATCTTAAAAGGTAATTCTTCCTACGATAATACTCTAATAAAAGCGCGAGTTATATACAAACTATATTCTATATTTTGAATTAAAAAAATGATTTTACAATTGCAAAATTTTACATTATTTGCAATATTTATTTATAAGTTCTACAACAACATACATGCACAGGCAAACAGTAAAAATTTAAATTAAATCTTAACTTAAACCTCATTAAAAGAGTATTAAACAAAATTACGGTTAGTAGAAAGACTGTGAAATATATCAATATGTTCATTAATGTTAGTAATTAAATTGTAATAGCTATTCACATTTGCATTAGATGCGAGCCGTAGGTAAATACGTTTAAGACTTTTAGTTCTAGAAACTCTAGGATTACAAATAAGGGAAAATTTATCATGGTCAGTATGAGAGCAACAAAAACATGATGTCCAAGATATCTATTACAGTCTACAGATATGTGATAGGTAGAACATGTACTAGCCACGGATTTTTTCTTGATAAGGTTATCAATTAATTCACTAACAATAAAACCCAACAGCATATTTTTTATTTAAAATAGCACATTCTGTTATACGTAAGTGAAAGCTTACCGCTGACCTATAAACCGGAAATAAATTAAATTATACTTCCTAAAATAAAACACAAAATAAGCAAGCTATCAAAAACATTCTTAAATATTTTACCTCTTGTAGCGATAATGTTTTCTGTTTAAGCTCCTCCATTGCAGTGCGGCATTTGTTCTGATCGCACAATTCATTTGTTTTATCTGGAGCCTCTGGCCTAAATATTTAATTACTACTTTAGATTTCTTTCTAGCAATTAAGTATATGAAGATCTATTGTTCATAGGTCTTTGTAGTAAGTTCAATAAGATACACTTTTGCATCTACTTCATTGATCAAATAGACAGTCACCTTTCGGACATACATTCTACAAATCTAATGGAATTCTGGTATTTTAAAAGATACGTTGGAGTCATAGCTCTTAGACTAGTTACGATGATAGTCACGAAACATCAATTCAATAGCACATTTATGTTAATTCGCTAGGAAAAATAAATATGGCTTGAATATCTTTATAAACTTAAAATTATTTTCAAACTAACAAATAAAAAAGTAAGTACCCACTGTTCTCTTGCAGAAGATCCGGGTGTCGGTGAAGTAACACTGAAAGGACTATTTATTAGCAAAAAATTATTACACACTGTGATGTTTATACCACGTATACACAAATAAACAAACGAAAAAATTTGATAGGAATAACAACAAGCGTAAACAACTTTCTGAAAAAATATAAACATAAAAACTAATTAAATTTCATTTGTTTTTTTTGAGATTTAATTCTTATTACATTACACAATTTTAAGGAGGTAATATCGCGACGTGGAAAATTTTGGTAATTAAATTTCATTTGTTTTTTTCGAGATTTAATTCTTATTACATTACACAATTTTAAGGAGGTAATATCACGACGTGGAAAATTTTGGCTTTCAATTTAATATACTTGCACTCCTATCGACAATCGACCCGATACCGTAGGCGTCACGTAACTTATCTTGAGTACATATGATAGATATGTTTTTAAAGAAACTATGTGAACAGCCTACATACTAGCTTAATTTCAGTTTCGGGTTCAAAAAAATAACCAGGAAATGAGAAACAAAGAACAGTTTCACCAGCAATCAAAACGAGGATATATATTCTTTATACCAACACTTTGCTATTATGGCAAAGTAGAAATAGCATGAATGCGCTTCGTAAGTTAATAATTTTTACTTTAATTAATTTAATTCTTACTACAAATAAATAACATTACCTACTTTGCAAGGTATTGGCAGGATGCATTTGCAGATTTAACACTGGGTTCAACATGTTCTGTGATAAGACCGGTGGTGGATGAATTTCTGAAATCACAGACAAAAGTTTAATGGCTTTCCGCAAATATATAAAACCAAAAACAACATTTTGAATTATTAAATTTCTTCTTTATGTAATTAACTCAGTTAAGAACCACTGTAACATTAGGATTCCTAATTTTAATAAACAATCAATCTAACATATGTCTGTTGTAATTGAATTTGAGATGACATGGAAGACCTCAAACATATCTCATCTGTACCTGTTAACTTATAAGTTATTGTCAGAAATCATGCTCAGGTCCTCTAGGTTACCACATGCATTATCTATTAAGGTAGTATTTTAAATATACACATATGAATACTTACTTAATAGATACAGGCACACCATTGCAACATTTTGGGCATCGGGCACTATTTGGTAATTGGCCTTTTTTGAGAAACTGCTTTGCAGAGCAAAGTCTCATGTTAAGCAAGCGAATTCTTTCTGTTAAGCGATCATTACTTTTTTTCAGATCAGCTATGCTGTAATAATAAGAAATATTAGCAGAGGAACATCAGTTAATAAGTGTCTTGTGAATTTAAACAATACCATAAATGTTATTTAATGTAATTAAGAACACCAAAAATAAAGTTTTTGTTGGAGAATCCTTAAATATTTTGAATAATATTTAAAAGAATAAGGTATGTAAGGTAAAAATTCCATTTAGCTGTAACTTTGATTTAAAACATACAGTAAATATAACAGTAAAAAAGCATATTAACAAAATATACATACACATCCTTTTGCTCATTTATAATAGCTTTATTATTGATGCAGCATTCCTTTAGCTCCCTAGTGGTAGTGGGTCGCTGAGCCATCATCCTCTGGACTTTAGTGTTCAAAAGTTTGATCTGTTCCCGCTGCCCATTTGAAGTTTTTTTGAGATCCATGTTATTTTCGACAAGAGCAAAGTACATGTCTTCTAGCTCACGCTTACTTAATTTTGAAGGACAAATCCTGTAAAAATCTGCAAATAAGATAATAACGGACTATCCATGCAAAGTTTGTAAAAGGAATATTTTACTAGAAATACACAATATTTTACCCTTTTCGGATCTTCCAGTGTGGTTTTTACACATGTCGTTTCCGACTTCTTCTTGGGCATTATTCATATTGTGAAAAAGCAAACCTTCTTGCCATTTAACAACTTTAACATTTCATAAGCGTAATTTTATTAATTTCGAAACTTATGACACGCGGGACCTACATAACTAAAAACAGTGATTTTTCTTAGATCTTAATAATTGAATACAATTATAATTTACATTGCATTACACAAATCTAACTAGTAACTACATAATTTATTGTTTGAAAGAAAAATCTAAATCTGGCGCCATAGCAACTGAAAAGAGAAAAAGTACCACAGACTATAAGGTTTGAAAGTTATAGCCACAGGTTATGCTATAGTGTATATGGCACATGCTCTGACAATATGACAAGATTAACCACCAATTTTTTTATTATTAAAGTCATTTATAATTATTTTACAAATGTTAAATAATAAAAATTACAGTTTAAAAATTCCAATTACGCATATCATAATTTAAAGAATCCTCAATATACGAGTATATGTTTCGATCAAAACTTACTCTTGTAAAATGTGTGTGTGTGTCAATAATCTTCAAAAATTGCGTGACGTAATACTTGAACGCTCCCTTACTCCATAGCAAAGTTTTATGCAAATTATTACTCTCACTAACACTATATTTTTGATACTGTTACATAGCTTAATTGGGTATATCTACACTAGGCGCGCAATGCATTTGGCATTAAGTACTTTAATTTAGAGTTATTTGTGGAAAATCCTCGGATCCGCACATCATATTCCGCCTATTATTGCCAATGTAGTGAGGTCAGAGGTGATTATTATTACAATATTGTTATAGACTTACCTACACAGAGAAAATTTAAATCTACAACAACTAAAGACTGGTCTAGAGGTCTCAGCCAGGGCCAATGCCAGGGATCGCGATTGTGTTTTAAACATCTTTTACTTAATTTATGAGTAGGTACTGGCAAGTAATTATTGTTTAAAAAATAAAATATCTACGATTGTAATACATTTATATATATATATATATAATATATTAATTAATAATTTAAAATCACAGTAAAATATTTTATCATACAATTATCGAAGACAAGTTAAAGTAAACAATTTACCAATTAAATAAAATAACCGTAACCATTGCGACGAAAACAGGATAGTATCAGAGATTTATAAATCTAATTAAACGTAAATATTATGTACATTTCGAAAAAAAATATACTGCCTACACAAAATAATTTTGCTTTTTTTTAATCTTTGTTGTCAAAAATAAATGTCGATTTTATCAAAAAAGTGGTTATTCCACAAGCCGGTTTCCATTTGTTTTTAGATAAACAAACTTCGCCAAATTCTCTAAACATATAAATTAATTCATTTATTTAACGTAGTAAAGTATTTTAAAGCTTTATTCGTATAATGTATTCGAAAATCGAAACCTAAAAAATGCCGTTCTTTCAAATAAATAACAATTTTTTAAGGAACTACTTCATCCAACAAACAAACACTTAAAACTAAACTTAAAAAAATTAACTTCGATAAATATAGTTTAGGCAAGTATTAGTGTATATTTGCATACAAAATCTTACTGCGCTAGCGCAAAACAAAAACTTAAATACAGTTACAGAATACGCAATAATAATACATAATTAAACATTACACAGTTGATTAAGATGCGGTTTATCGAGTACAGCTGTATTTATTACTTTTCTAGTTCACCGACGTCCGACACAATAATATCCCATCTTTAACCGAACAATCTGATTCTCAAACTCTTTCTACTGATTATAACTAATCAACGAGTATCAGCACATCTCTAGTAATGCACTTAACATTTGTATAATATTGCTTGAAGTGAAGTCCTATTTCGGCTCTTTCTTTTCTGCAGCTTGACGTCGTAAGTCTGACTGTATGACAGCTGTAAGGACAGTACCAAGAACGAGAATAGCACACATGGTCACATTCGCCCATCGGTCCCCAACTGTGCCTAGCATCCATTGGAAGAGCAGGGTTAAAACGATACCAAAGACCTGAAAATATTTTTTAGACTTTAACTATGATCGATTAACCATTGCTTACTATCCACACATTCGTCAAACACTCTGTATCGTAATAAATACGACTGGTATTTTCGATATCGAAACCTCATGTCTAAACCAAACATGTATGTACATATTATTATGTAATCCTTCTCATGGCTCGGCGGACAAAATTAAATTGGCTGAGCAGTGTAACCTTAAATAAAAACTGGCCCATCTTGAATAAATAATGGACAGGATTAAAACTTTATTATATATTATTTTTTTGTTAAAGAAGGTTTATTAAATCTATCTATAAGAAGAGTTATTAATAATAATTACGCTACAAACCTGAACACCAGCATTAAGTAGACCGGACGTTGTTCCCTCGGGTTCAGGGTAAGTGACTTCTGAAGCAAATTCGAATCCGACCGGTAAGTATCCTGTCATGAAGAATCTGTAATGGAAGTTACATTTAATTTTAACAGCAGAAACAATTTTAAGTTATATTAATAGTTAGGACATTTAGAAAGGAAGTTTTATGTTGATTACATCAGTAAAAACTGTGATTGTGTCTGTACCATCATCGATCGTCGAACCTTTTTGCCGTTTCATAATTGAGCGATTTTAAGGCACTTTTTGCCGCTCACCACCTATACGTGGATCTAACTGCCCACTGAAGTATTTACAAACCTATTCGTATTTTTAAGAAAAAAGAGTAGGTACCACCTATTAAAAGGCCACGCACTTGCGAGCCTTCTGGAAATGTGTCTATGGACTGCATCAAACGCATTGCCATCTGAGGCTGAGGTGCATATAGAGTTGTAACACCACTGGATTAAATATTTAACCCTTACAAATAGTGTAAACAATATGAACATTCGTTTTACAAAAAACACTTCTGACTAACCCAAGCAAAATGCCACTGGAGTACACAACACTGATGTATCCACAGTTCAAAGTAAAGGTAAAAATGACCATTCCGATGGTTGACGCAGCATATACGGCAAGTGCGGTCTCCTTAAACCAGTGAGTCTTGTCAATGATGACCCCACAAACAACAGACCCAACCATTCCTGCTACCACAATCACGACGCCTATTCTACCTGCGTCTTCATTTGCTCCCTGAAATAAAATACCAACATTAGCATTAATTTACATAAAAACACACTTTATAGTATAATCAAATAAAAAAGTTATAGTATGTACGGTAGAGCAGTGTTGGCCTAGTGGCTTCAGCGTGCGAACTTCATCCCTGAGGTCGTAGGTTCGATCCTCGGCTGTGCCAATGGGCTTTCTTTCTATATGCGCATTTAACATTTGCTCGAACGGTGAAGGAAAACATTTTGAGGAAACCGGCTTGCCTTAGACCCAAAAAGTCGACGGCGTGTGTCAGGCACAGGAGGATGATCATCTACTTGTCTATTAGTTTTACAAATGATCATGAAACAGATACAGAAATCTGAGGCTCAGACCTAAAAAAAGGTTAGCGCTACTGATTTATTTTAATTTTTATAGTAAGTATGGAGCTTATGTCTCCTTACATAAGGAAAAAGTTTTATTATCATTTTAAGCCAGAATATACCGTAATTGTTTCTTTATTGAACTGATGAAGAAATACGTAGGACAGGCCATATTTATTAAAGTTTTATATAATTTAAATATTATTTAAATTTTTCTTTAACCAAACATAATGTACTTACCACGTAATACCTCAATACCAATTCATTCAGTAGCGTCGAAATAGCATAGAACACACCAACATTTATGCCATAAGAGATTAGTAACAGCAAGTAGTTTCGATTCGTCAGTAAATTCTTCAAAGATTTGAGGAAGTTTGAGTCAATTGCTAATTCCTGGTCTGCTGCTGCTGAAGGTGGTGTGGCTGGTGCTGCTTTAAAGACTGTGGAGTGGAAAATATAATAACTGTCACGGAATGACAGAATCGCATGCATCAATTTAGTCACTTATTTTTTTGTATTATGATGAATAGTTTTCAAAATACGAATATATAAAAATAGTATTGAAACTACCAAAATAAAATTGAGGTACCTACTTATATCAAGCCGCGGTCATCCTTATAACGGGTGGCGCAAAAGTAATGGCACTAAAGAAAATTTGTTTATTTTTTTTATATGACGATAGTTTTCATTCTGGTGTTGAAAATTGTGTAGTGAACAAATGTAAATATGTGGAATAATCGTGTCAATGTTCTTAAAGAATAATTCATCAGAGATAAAAACACAACGTGAATTTCGTCGACGATTTCCTGCAAGATCACCCGATCTGACGACTCCAGACTTCTTTCTTTGGGGTTTTTTGAAATCTCGGGTGTATGTGAACAAGCCACAGACTCTCGCAGCTCTAAAATAAAACATTCATCAAGAAATAAGGAACATAGCGCGAAGTATTACGGCAAGTTATGCAAAATGTCATAAATAGGGCTCAAATGTGCATCAACTCTGGAGGTCACCATTTAAAAGACATCATCTTTAAATCCTAATTGTACGAAATTTAATGGCACAAATATACATTTAAAAAAAACTAAATCTAGTTTTCTAATTTAGAAAAAATGTTATAGCTGAACAAAATAGGGTCTTTACTTTTGCACCACCCAGTATAATCGGTGTATGTAATCAAACTCGTTCCTAACTGATAAATATTTTATTTAATCAAACGACGTTTACCGCGTCAGCTAGTATGTAAAATTTATTGAAACTGTTCCATAGTTTCATCTCATCATAAGTCTAAAACATATTATATAAATTATATCTAATATATAAAATTCTCGTGTCACATTGTTAGTTCTCATACTCCTCCGCAACGGCTCGACCGATTCTTATGAAATGTTGTATGCATATTCAGTAAGTCTGAGAATCGACTACTATTTATCTTTCAAACCCCTAAATGTTAATTCACCCCTAATTTTTCTTTTATTTTTAAATTTTTTGATACAGCATACAAAAATATATACAACCCTTAATTTTCGTTCCCTCTACGATCAACCCCTATTTTTTATTTGTTAATTAATTGTCTTATGACTTGAACTCTGAGGTTTATACAGATTTTATAATTCACAGAAAGACCTAAAAAGTTTTCATTCCAGAAAACCGAACAGTCACTGGGGTAGCATAGCAAAATGTTCCATGTTGGTATGTACAAAAAAGGTAGGCTAAGTAAAATCACATTAAAGAGAAACAAAGTTCGCGGGGGCAGCTAGTACTTACATAAGATAATGAGCACAAACAGTAAAGTAGTGAAGCCAGCGACAAGGTAGAAGAGAAATTTGAAATCTTCTCCTATTTGCTCCATAGAACCTTGTGCGCGGACTATCATTGGGGTTATCAGGAATCCCACAGCGGTACCTAGCTGAAATAGGTTTTAAATGGGATATATCGATTTCAGTCTTTCATTGATGCTTTTTAAGTCATGTTCGTGTCTAGCAATTGTTCGCCTGGAACCCGGAATCCAGATTATACAGCGTTACTAAGTAACGTAGTTTTTTACGCCGGCTTTTTCTCTCGGCCTACACCCTCTGTCTTCTTTGCCGATGAGTAGGGATGTCTACCTATTCAAATTTAATGACGTGGAATAAGTGATACCTGTATCTTATATTCCATAATAAACATATTATATATTAGGTCCTTACAAATGAAGTTGGCGTATTTCGTACTGGCCACTTTAATCGCGATGTTCTCCTCTTTGGTAAGGAATTCCAAATTCAAATTTGTACAGCTATTTACTCATGCACTTGTGCTTCGATGACCGTCATTCATTTGTTTTTTTCTTCTGTTTTTTCTGTTTGCGTCACTCATTTTACAAAATGGAAAACTTAAAGTATCGCATTATTTACGAGTACGAGTTCCGCCGTGGCACTAGTGCTGCGGAAACGACTCGAAGGGTGAATGATGTGTATGGCGGTCATGTTGCAAAAGAAAACACAGTTCGTTTTTGGTTCCAACGTTTCCGTTCTGGAAATTTCAACCTGCTGAACAAGCCCCGTGGACGGCCTGAGATCCAAGCTGATAATGAAGTATTGAAGGCTATTGTGGAAGCGGATCCATCGCAAACCACGTCCGAGTTAACTGCAGGCTGCGGTGTTAGTGATAAAACTTTTTTAATTCACTTGAAGCAAATTGGGAAGATTAAAAAGCTTGAAAGATGGGTACCTCACGAATTGACTGAAGCAAACCGGCAAACGCGCGTCGACTGCTGCGTTACAATACTGAACCGGCACAATAATGAAGGTATTTTAAACCGAATCATTACCTGTGATGAAAAATGGATTCTTTACGATAATCGAAAGCGCTCAGCGCAATGGTTGGATCCTGGCCAGCCAGCCAAATCCTGCTAAAAAAGTTACTTGTAAGCGTTTGGTGGACTAGTGCCGGTATTGTTCATTGCAGTTTTCTCTATTACGGCTGATGTCTATTGTCAGCAATTGCAAACCATGATGGAAAAGCTAGTGGCTAAACAACCTAGGCTGGTCAATCGCTCCACACCACTGCTACTTCACGACAACGCTAGACCACACACTGCACAACAGACGGCTACCAAATTAGAAGAGCTTCAATTGGAATGTCTAAGACATCCTCCGTACTCCCCGGACCTTGCTCCAACAGATTACCCTTTTTTTCGAAATTTGGACAACTTCTTGCAAGGGAAAAAATTTAAATTTCTGATGGGGTGTCCAAATCGCCTTCACAGATTTTATTGATTCCCGTCCGACTGTTTTTTTTTAGTAAAGGGATCAATGAACTACCTATGAGATGGCAAAAGTGCATAGAAAACAATGGTTCATACTTTGATTAATTAAATATATTATATTTAAAAATATTCGACTTTTTGTTCCTCCCATACAAAACGCCAATTTCATATGTAAGGACCTAATATTAATTTTATTTTAGTCAGTTGCTATGATTTACAGACTATTTTTTTTATTGAAGACAGCACCGTTGCATTAACTGTATTAAGTAAATAATGGAGATAATTGGTGGAAAAAACATCTTGTAAGCTGTAATTACCTGATTACCAAACACCCCTATGCTGCAAGCAGAAGAAACCTGACCAGCACCAAACCAGACAGCAGCCAATCGTGACGGTATGCTTAGAACAAAGGCTTGAGCAAATGCGCACACAGTTTGCCCCAGAAAGCTAAGCCAGAACAAATCCTGGCGAACTGAGATGACTTTCACCCAGGCGCCCACGCAGTTTCCAAACGAACCTATTAGTATTGTTACTCGAAGATTCTGGAATAAAAATTATATTTTCTGAAAATCTATTATTGTTGTAATTTTAATATTTTTTTTATTTTCACCTATTATATAACAGTTAATGAAATTTCATTTGTCCGTGAGTACATTGATAGTTCACTGACAAAAGTTAGTAAGTCCTTTTGTTTATAATAATACCTAATTATGTTTTATTTGTTTCTATTACGTGTGTGTTAAGGAGGCATGGAAGTCTTTGTCAACGTTCGGTACGTTGACTCGTTGACCGAAATCCTCGAACTAAACGAAAAACGAAAACCTATCTCTGCTTTCCTGACTTTAGACGACAATGTTCATATTCGTTCATTGTTAGTTACTGCCCTTCGTTTACTACCTTCCTTTCTTCACACGTAATCGTTGACCTTCCTGCATCATTATTTAGACCCTGCCCTTGTTTCTGTGAGTCCTTGCTCTTTAATATATACCTCTTAACGACTCCGTCATATATATATAAAGTACGTCTATAGTTGTTACTGTTGAGGACACACAAGCACCGAAGCTTGAAGTCTAAGTGTCCAGAATATTCTGAAGGCTAGTATTATTTTGTAAAGCGTTCTTTGTTAGATTACACACTTTTTTTTATGGTGGCTGAAATAAAAAGGTTACGGGTGATACCTAAGAAGTACATCATTTTATATTGCAATAATTTAAACCGAGAAACTAATTACTATTCTCGAGTCTTATTAAGGTGTGGTTACATGTGATAAAAAACTAATTACATTTTGAACAGGAAACCTCATTACGGAGCTATATGTAATCATACAAAAATAGCAATTGTTCTATAAATTGACAATACATACTTCCTGCTTAAAGTATGTTGGACTGTTTTTATAAAACATATTTTTGTGACTTTTGTTCCTTAAGGGAACTGTTTTATCTCGTTATTTATATTTCAAGATTCAAGAGAGTTATAAAGAAAAAATATTGAATGAAATGTTAGACATCGTTCAAATTTTTTTAATTTTACTATATTAAATAATTTTTAGGTAATATGCACGCGACGATTGCGTATAGAAAGTTTTACTATGATCTGTCTATTTTTAATGAAAATAAAGTATTTGTCCGCAATCTTATTTACCCGAACCCTCTCACTTCCAATTGCGATAAAAATACCGAGCCCGACCCCAACGTTTTTGTATACATCATTGATATATTTTTTAAATATCCGTGGCGCTTGGAATTGCGCGTTACAAAAACTTATAATTAAGATTGGGATCGCTTTTTGTCTCTCTCTGAAATTACTTACTTGTAGTAAGGGCCCCGATACTAAGCGAAAGCGCAAAGAGGCAGAATAGCCTCTGTTAATGAGGTGGCGCCTTTTTGGGCTTTAAGCCCTTTGGGGTAGGAGAATCAATAAATAATTCAATAAGATGTACAACTTAAATATTTAGAGCAATAAATCTATAAAATACTTACTAAATAGTTCACAGTTCGCCTTGTCTCCTAAAATAGCCTATTTCTATAATAGGCTATTTGACCAGTCGAATCCTAATACTGTTTTGGAATTTAATTTCTACCGTGACTTGTTTTTTGATCGAAATATAATGTATGACTGTGTAATTTAAGAATGATAACCCGAAAAACATTTAACGTTTGTTTACGTGTTAACTGGCATGGTACATCATAAGGGTTGGTGCGACGCCATCTTGCGTAGAAAACCATTTCGGCGGGTAAATGTTTAATTTGATGTTACCAATACTAAACATAATAAAATAATTTGAATGGTTTTAAATTCTTCTCAATCCTATTGTAATGTGTTTGCTATTTATAATATGTATAAGTAAGAAAACGTAATAACCAGATAATAATAAAAAGATTAGGATTAACTTATCTTGCAATTAAAAAACACGGAAGAACGATTTAGGCTAACAGCGCCATAAAAAAGTGTATTCAAAGCAAGGTCAAATCGTTTAGGATGTAATAATATGGAGAGAATTAGCACTATCTATATTTATCTGCCATTTAAAAAATTGTTTTGTGTCATAAGACTAACATCTTCACAACACATAAGACAAAACAAACACTTCACACACTTCAAATCACATAAAGTTTACCACAAAAATCTATTCCGTTATTTAGAAGACCTAGAGTAGGCCGTTTAATTCGCAATGTAACGATTTATTCACAATATATCACAAAGTTGTATGCAAATAACCAATGGAACAGTGTAATGGCTACCTTATATGTAATTTCTTTGTAACTAGACAACATTTTTAAAATGTAAAATATTTTTAATTTTGTCGTGATTAGCGTTACAAAAAAATTTGTTCAGGTGGTGAACATATTATGTTTAAATAATTTACATTACTTAAAGATACACGGATTCATTTTCAAAAAAATTATTTAAATTTAAAAAATTCACATAATTAAATTTTAAGTTTTGTAATCTATATGAATAAATAAAACGGCTAATGGCTCAAATATAAAAGTCTTTCCTCCAACTTCGATTCTGTTCCCTTTGGAGTAGAGACTCTTGGGCCGTGGCACAGCACAGACGCTAAATAAAGATTTAAGTTGGCGTCTGGAAGATAGTACCGGTCACCCCACCGGTTTTTTTATTACTATGTAGGATTAGAAAATTGTAAACTATTAAAATATATTTGATGGTTATGATTACTAATAAAGTTATAATCTAGTTCGTATGAATAAATTATGTTTCCATTTTGAAAAAAAAATTATTCAATCTGGTTTTTGACAAACAGGGAATAAATGTTTTGATTTGCAAGGCGCAGTGAGGCAATGGTCTGATATACATATATAGAATATATTACATTTGTATGGATTAAGGAAGATAATTATTTAAGAATTTAAAACTCAGACTCAACTGTAAAACTCTGAATAATTTTACTTCAGTTTCTTAGTTTTCATACCTTGCCAAAAATTTAATTCAGAGAATAACGGAAGACACAGAAATTCTAGAATTACGGGAATCGCAAATTGCGAGAATAATTATATATTTAATTCAATTGTTATTCTTACCGTTCTATCTAGAAGATAACTAGCAGGAAAGATTAAAGGGATATAAGCGAGCATGTAGATCATAGAAGTCCAGTAGACTGCGATTTCTGGCACCCCATAGTACTTTACTACCGTGTCTTGTATGATGGTGTACTGAATCCATTGCATAGAGTTACTGGCAGAGTACAAAACGAATATGAAGAGAACCAGCCATCGTATTGGATACACCCTGTATTCTATAGGGAATTTCTTTACTTCCAGACTTCCACTGTCCACACCATCCATAACACTCCCGATAATATCTATGTTTGTGGAATTCGTCATTCTGCTTAAATTGAACTAAACAAAATTCTCACGATATAATTGTTAATTTTTTATTAAAGTTTTTAAATAATTTTATTTAAGAAAAACCGCACGTGTTGTGCTACCTCTGCACCTTGCGACGACCTGAGTTTAACTACATTTTAAATTTTCCTTATTTTCAAGTTTTACACCCTCTGACCTTGAACACAATATCACTCACATGAGTAACGTCAACTTAAATTGAGTAATTGTTAGAATAAATAAAACATACCTTAAATATATATAATTGCAAAAAATCTTCTCATAGTAATATAGCCCGCACATTAAACGTTATGATAGCAATTAGCGTATTTATTTCATATGTAAATATATTTAAAGAGAAAAAATTAACCTTTTCTTTCAAGATATACGGTATACGTATACTATTAAAGCCCTTGAAGTCCAATCATAGTCTGTTAATTTTGCGCATATGCAATATCTATTAAGTATGATTGTTTAAACACGCGGCACGCTTTCTATGCCTGATTTTCCTTCTATGTATGTATGTTTGTGTTTGGTCTACGTGAACACTACGTAATCACGAAATTCGAGTGCCTTTCAGCAATCATACTGAGCAAGATCTAACAATAAATATTAATTCGGGTTCTTCTATATTTGTTATTATTTATTAGGTTATTTTTTATTTGATAGGTGGTCCTTTTTTGGTTTGAGGATAACCCGCGTGATTCGGCTTACTCTGGAGGTTAGGTAAAGATACTGGCAAACTTCTTGAGCATTAAACAAGGGAGTGGGGGAAAGTTTGCGCAAACGTGTCCCGCGATGCGCAAAACTCTCCCGCCAACCCTAGAAATCGCAGTCAAGGACTTTATTTCAAGATGTTTACCGGTATCTGTATCTACTCTAAGAGTAAGTTACTCGGAACTCTAGAGTAGATAAGTTTACACTTAACTTAACAATAATACTTCAGTCATACTCATATCAGATCCTCTGCTCGCAAAAGTTAACCAGAATTTAATGACCTTAGCTGTAAGGTTTAACCTGTTAAACCGATAAAAACCCACAAGAAATTATATAATGAGAATATTTGCTTAAGGCCCTGACATAAGGCGTTTTTATTCTATTGACAAGCATTAAACAAAGGTACGAGTGAGTATATAAATGAAAATTGGCTAATTACCTTGCAATATAGATAAATAAAATATTGATCCCATTCATCAATTGATAAATTAATCTTACGTACTTGTTATTTGAGTTTATCTAATAAAGGCATTGTGCGATGAAGGTCGTGCTTTGTCTCATGTCGTAAAATTGTAAAACATTGTTTTTATAAATCTACTATGCCCTGCAGTTTCACTCGAAATAAGTCGCCCGTAAATAATTTATTACTTATATACTTTTTTTGCAATGTAGATTAAATTTCTTCCACTAGGAAGAAAAAAATACTCTTATTACTAAGTTATCACTATTACTTCTCAAATATAGTACTATTTACAATGCATAGTTTTATTGAAGTAGAAACCTTAATTATTAAAATTTCAGACAACGCTACACAACAGTGACAGAACAATGTACCTACATAATTTTCTTGATAGCCATTAAATAAATAATAGAATCACAATTTTTGCACGTGTTTTAGTAACAATATAAAGAGAACAAAATGAAAAATTTGTTATATATTTTTTTCTTTATTTTCAACATAGACACGCTGTGTTGTTAAAAATTGAGAAGTGAAGGTCTCGTCTTTCTTGTCTATTTTTCCTTTGTCAATTTTAATTAACGTTGCTGGCTTAGTAGTTAAGCGACTTTCAACCTAGAAACCGTCTCTTCAAATTCTCAAAGTCTATGAAATTATTAATTCATGTTTCAGACACTCAGCTACTTGCCTATAAAAAGAAATCAAAATAAATAGACATATGAATCGGCGTAAGGATTGTAGTGGCACTGGTTTGTTACTTGCATATTATTTTAATAAAGTATTAAAAACGAAACGCACACATTGCAACAATTTATTGATATCAATTTACAATAATATAACATTACAGCAGTTATTAATAATTATTCTTATTTCTATTTCAGCATACATTATGCATGCATAAATAACTTATAGAAAAGGAAACGGATCTAACATAAATTATAAGTTAATGAACAATTAATAATTCTGATATTATACTACTCTACAAGTTTACAAACTATAACTCTCGTAGGCCAAAAACGGATTCTGATGTTGATTCGCGCTAAGACATTGATGCTTCTTTATGAAAATTTAATGAATTAATAAATAGGTACTTTGTATATTTTATCAATCAAAAATAAGGGTCAGAAGTCGAAACTGTTTCAATATTACCTAATAGAGATTTCCGAATTCTTTATTCTACGTACGCTTTGCGAATTCACGAAATTAATAAAACGCGTTATCTACCCTACTTATTATACTTTACACATTTTAAACGTTGATAACATCTTAATGAAGCATTGAACAGGATCTACGGTTGTACAGCATGTTTTATTTTCACAATGGGTTCGTCCGGCACAAGAAAAAACTTTATCACAATTGACTCGAAGTATATTGCGAATAGAACTATTCAAGGAAATCCCAAGTACTAAAACCATGTCGTCGCTTATCTCTAGAGAGGTTTTAAACATTATTACAAGGTACTTAATTCCACATATAAATACGAAATATTTTAAATAATTATCTTGTACAGCCGAATTACATAAATTAAGAAGTGCATGCATTTTTAAAACAATATGCCTCCATGTTAAATGAGTTACATACAGGCAATTATACTAAAATTAATATAAAATTTTATAACAAATGGATGAAAAGTGACAAAAATGCATATAAATGCTATATTTTTTTAATAAAAGTTAACTTAATCTACACTTAAATAAAATAATATTAATACTGCATATGATCACAGAGAACGCCATAACCTGTTGTAACTATCATCACAAGCCTTTCTTGACAAAAAACGAATATACTTTTTTAAATGAAAACGCCAGATTTTCATCATTACATAACGTACAACTATAAATTTCAGTTATATTTCGCGTAAAGTAATTTATATGTCGCAGCCAACTAGCTTAATAAGCCGTTCAGTAACAGCCCAGCCTTTTAACTAAACAGCGCCGTTAAACTAGCGGCCTGAAAGATATTTAGCCGTAGCGTTTGTAACAATATTTATTAAACTGGCTGGCTTACGCTTAGGGCATTCGTACGATAGACTGACCATGTGGCAGAAATAAAAAAGATGAAACATCTGACATAAAAAATATTTCTTTAAAAATTAAATAGCTTGAGTCAGTCTCAGCTAAATTCACATTATTATTGTCACTACACTCTTGTTGGTTTTCATTAAAATTTGGAAAACGCCATCAAAGTTGTGGTTTTCCGACGCCATAATTGACAGTTTGAAAAGATCTGTTTCGAGTTTGAGAGAGGCAGAGAGCTGAATTTAAATTAACAGTCATCAAGCTAGGCAAGTATTAAAATGTCATCAATCTATAAGATTTGCCTAGCTGTTTTATGAACTGGCTGCATATCTTTCAGGCCGCTAGTTAAACGGTTTAGTTAAGAGGCTAGGCTGTTAATTGAACGGCTTATTAAGCTAGTTGGCTGCGACATATATATCACACTCGTCAAAGAATGCGTTCTATTAAATATTTAAGAAGCATAATATAATTGGTGGAAACCAATAAACTGACCACTATCGTAATAATCGCCATGCTAAATCTACTCATGTTGCGTGTTGATATTTATTCTTATATTATATATATAGCTGAGCGGTTACCTTTGGCATAGCTTTATTTATATCAAAATATATTAAGTTTTTTACATGACCACATAAAGATTTATTTTACTATTATACTATGTACGGAGTTCGCTCGATAGATTTAATAATTACACCAAACATTTAAATAACTAAACACACATACAGGCCGAGATTAAGCCTGTTTATTAATTTCTATACATATTTCACTATCTACTAAGTGAACAAGACATATATAGTTTCACGTGTATATGAACCACGAAGAGTATCTAGTCACCCACAAAACTGGGGTGTCCCTAGTAGGGACGATTAGCTACCATAAAATTTTAAAAGAAATAGAAGATTTCATCTTGCCGAACTACTGGTTTCATATTCAGAACTATACATTTAGTATTAAATTATCGTTTTGCTTTAACAATTCATTACTTAACATACATTTTATGGGTCCAAAGCGAACGCATATAATACCGTAACTATTATTAAAAAGTTTGTAAAATTAATCCTCCTTACAGGACTGCGCACTATTCAACCACAGATACGATAAATATTATACGGTGATGAAATCTGTACGCGAATTATCGCAATTGCTTATTTATTTTCTTAATTATAACACCGATTATCACTTCTACAACACTAAATATTCAATTTTAATCGAAAAATACTATCCTTGTATACTTAGACACGTGTTTATTGTCATCGTGAAGTGTAATTTAATTATACTTAATGTTATTTCGATGTGTACAACAGTATAAACATTTACAATCAAATTTGAAGATCCAAGATTTTCTAAAAATACTATAAAATTTGCTATGGATATCTGAGCTGCCTACAACTGCTACTCAACTTAAATTATGTTAAAAGATGCAGGTTAGAATCAAAATCGAGACCGTGATCACCTTCGTATGGGGTCCTCCTAAAGCGTTATGGATTTTTGACATATGGGCACTGTACGTTAAGTCGTAAGTAAGTGTCACATTTTAAATTAAAGTATTGTAAATATTATTTCACTTTGTTCTGTAGATAAATAGCCTAAATTACAACTTTATTTCACAATTCTCAGAATTATAATAAAATTTGCTTTTTCCTTTATATAAAAAAAGTATTAATATTTGTCATGGTATAGTTCTTTTAGCTGAATACATTAAAAAAGGCCATTTTATTGTCCTGTATGTAATATATAATAGACCGACATATATAATATGGGGGCTAGTCGCCTACGGGACGCCCAAAAAGGGCAGCCATCGCAGCCCATAGACACCGATTTTTAGTTGGTGCGTTGCCGGCCTTTGAGGGAAGAGTACACTCTAACTTTGAATAGTTAAAGGTCGCGTCTCTCAGGTAAGACCTCCACCGAGAGTCGATTCCACAGTTCGCTAGCTCGCAAAAGAAAGTTTTGAAGGTTCTCTAAACAGCTTTTGTATTAAAAGGTGTACCTAGTCTACGTCTAAGTCTTCATATCCGGATAATGTTTATAACTGAACAGCTGCATATTAATTAGGTAATCATTTGCAATCTAAATAAATCGAATTTTAAATATACACAAAAATAACTTTATCACGCCCAAGTTTTACATCTTTATCAAGATTTTATACAACTACATTTCCAAGCCTTCAATCTTTTCTATTATACATAATCAAATACAAATACGTTCAAGCTTGTAAAATTAATATATAATACTGACAGCTTAAGCCTTATTTTGCGCGGCTTGACGTCTCAAGTCAGATCGAATACACGCGGTGATAACTGTTCCAACTGCCAAAATAACGCACAAAGTCAAGTTTGCCCAACGGTCGCCAACTTCAGCCAGCATCCATTCAAAGAGAAGTGTTAGTATTATGCCAAACACCTGAAATGACAATAACAAAGTATTATTATATTACTACTAGCTGACCGGGCAAACGTTGTATTGCCATGTATATCACTTATAATAAAAAACAGGGGTTGATCGTAGAGGAGTGAAAATTAGGGGTTGTATGTATTTTTAATGCTGTATCATAAAAAAATAAAAATAAAAAATAATTTAGGGGTGGACTACCCTTAACAGTTAGAGGGATGAAAAATAGATGTTGTCCGATTCTCAGACATACCCAATATGCACACAAAATTTCATGAGAATCGGTCAAGCCGTTTCGGAGGAGTTTAACTACTAACAACGCGACACGAGAATTTTATATATTAGATAAGGGCTAAGCAACTCCCGTGTGTCTTAAACGTATTCTATTTGACATACGAGAGTCTTATTCAGGTCTCCTACTGAAAATTGTTAGTTTTTCGTTTTAAATTACATACTAAACTATACCAACGTTGTGGCTGCTTTACAGAAATCACTCCCTATCAAGTTTGGCGCATAACTTGGAAGACCTGGATTCAATCCCCGGTAAAACAATATTTTATTTAGGTGGGTGAGCACAGCCTAAGATAGTTTTAAAGAACTTCAATAATATAATTGTAACTTTGATCTCATATAATATATATCAATAAAAAATTTATTTATAGGCTCTAATTTAAATTTATATACGATTAAAAATGGTTCAACCCTTTCAATTTATAACTAATATTTAAGTATTTACCTGCACACAAGCATTCAAAATTCCCGACGTTGTTCCTTCCGGTTCAGGATATGTCACTTCCGATGCAAACTCGAATCCAACAGGTAGGTAGCCCGTCATGAAGAAACTGTCATAAAGTTCAATGCATATCAAAAGGGTTTTCTGTGATTTTTCTCTATATACATACAACCCTTAATTTTCATCTACCCCTATTTTTTATTTGTTAATTAAATACTTATGACTTGAGGTTTGTATAGAGAAAATTCACAGAAATACCTAATTCTAATAAAGTTTTCATTCCAGAAAACCAAACAGTCTCTGGGGTAGCATAGCAAAATGTTCCATGTTGGTATGTACTAAAAAAGTAGGCTAAGTAAAATCACACGAAGGAGAAACGATGTTCGCGGGGGCAGCTAGTTAGATAAACAAATTCCAGTCATATCTTACCCAAGAATAATACTACTGAAATAAACTACACCGATTTGTCCACAGTCCAGCGTGAACGTGAAGATTATCATTCCTACGACAGAGGCAGCGTAAACAGCCAGTGTCGTCTCCTTGAAGCGATGTGTCTTGTCAAGTATGTAGCCACATACCACCGAACCCACCATACCAGCCACGACTATCACTAGACCTATTCTTCCTGCATCCGCATTGGCACCCTGAAATTGTTATTAACTAGCTAAGTAACTGTTAATTACCTCATTACTGTGGTTGTTCACTTAGTCTCGGTCTTAACTATTCAAAGTCAAAATCATTTATTCATAGGTAACACAATGTACACTTATGAACGTCAAAAAAGGAATACATATCATTATAATATAATAATATCATTTCTTCTACAAATAAGACGTTAACTTACTAAAATATTTTATAAAATTAAATATAATATCTTGTCCCAAATTTGGTGAAGTACCAGCCATAACCAAGAAGTCAATTAACTACGGGTAGAAGACAACAACAGTGAACAAAAGTTTCTAGCTACGCTTACTTTCGTACGCGCCGATCACTAGAATAAAGCTTCTGAGTATATTAATTAATCGCTTAGTCAATTTAAAGGCGAAAGCGGTAGCGGAAAAAAAAAGGGTCTGCCCAATTTAAATTCATATTCAATTTTGTGTTTTCCCAATTAGTGAATTTATAAGATGCCAAAAAGTTCAACCTCTCCTATGCAATAAATCAAAAGTGTTTCTAGCAAAGTAAAAATGGAAACTTTTCAACAGACCTTAGTACAATAACACAGCTATGTTCAAAACGTCAAAAAGGGCTAGAGAGCATGGATTTGAGGATGAATTATTAAGTTTTAAAAAAGAGATGAAAGGCATGATTAAGTCATTGTTTGCGGAACAACAAAAGAGCTTAAAAAATAACGTCTCCCAATAGAGATAGAGAGAGTAATACAACATAGAAAGTAGCCTTGATTCCTCTCATCCAAATGAAGACCTTAGGAAGAAAATAGAACAGTTGAAGTACGTTTAAACAAGACGAGAAAAATTATAATTTTAGAGGACAAGCTTAGGAATTCACGGGAACAACTAAGGCTAATATTGAAATAAAAATATCCAAAACTACCCACAGAATCAAAGGAAGACTTAATAAACATGGTTGTAAGCTTATCAAAATCCCTAATAGCGGTATTAAAAAGATGATATCAAAGCATATACAGCTAAAAGGGAAAAGAGATTCTAATAAAACAATACTCAATAATTGTTGAGTTATATCTCATTTTAAATAGATTTATAAAATCTTTAAAACCTACAAATCAAAAATAAAGAAAAGCTACACAAATCTGGATACTACAAATGAAGAAACTGCAGTTTTTCTCACACTCACTAAAGGCCTAGACTACACTTTCTCGCTCGATTAGCTAAATCAAAAGACTACAAGTTCTGTTGATTCTTAGGACTGTTTACCTAAGAAAGAATGAAAACACCCCTAATTAAGGTCAAAAACAATCACAGTACACAGCCTCATCAGGATGACTCTTTAATATTGTCCTTTTTTTAAATTTTTTTCTTGTTATCCCATTATTAAACAGTTTTTTCTAAAAACAATAGTCAAAACCTTACATACATATACTATTTAACTAATATAACTACATATATTAAAACTATTCTATCATCTCACTTTATTCATGGCTCATCTACAAAATAAATATTATAAAATTTATTCAATTCGTTATAATTTTTATCCCAATAAATTATAATTTATCGAAGTTACGGAAAGTATCTGGTTACTCATTTAGGATAGTCAGATAAATTTAGAATTAATAATAAAATACTTTTTTTATATTTTAAAAAAAATAAAATTGATTTCAGATATATAAAAATTAAGAAGCATTTAAATAATTTTGATGATTTTTAATAACTTTATGGATTCAAATTTCAAGCTGATGTAATAACACTACGAGATACAACCTTACCAAATGATATACACTCACTTCGTTAACCATCTAAATCTAGTATGGCTAGTTGTCTACATAAAATCAACATAAAACTATGTTCAAGAAATAAATTTAAAAATATTTCTTAAAGTCAAAGTAGGTAACTATACCATGTTGTTATTTATCGCTCCCTCTAACCTTAACTGAAAATTTTATAGATTATTAAATAGTCACTTAGTAATTTACAATAAATAAATTATAATAACAGAACATAAATAAATCTAATACAAAAATCAGTGAAAATCTCAGGAGGCTCGAACCGATTACATTACCTCAATATCTACCATCATGGCCTGCTCCCGGGTCATACACTCCTATCGAGTACAATTATAGATCATTTCATACTAAAACTTGATAGGTGCATAGGTACGTGTGCGTCTATTACCGTTATTGATACTACAGTTACTGATCACAAAATGTTATTCTTAAAACTATCCTACCTCTAAGTCGAATTACAATACCTCGAAAATTAAATCTTCAATCAACATGGAAGGCCTTTAAGTTATTTAAAAACAGCAAATAAATGATCTAATTTATATAATAACCCTATAATCTTAACTAATAAATTAATATCTATTTTAAAGAGTGTATTCAATCAATATATCACTAGAGCTATCCCGAATAGGGAACCTTATTAAACCATGGATTACCTTAGGAATTGTTAGATGTATTCGTAATAGAAATGCTATCAACAAAATCGAGCTGATCCTCATAATGAAATTTTAAAATTAATACAGGAGATATAGGAATTTCTGCAATAGTTTATAAAGAAAGTCAAACTAAATATAAAAAGAAGACCTTGCCAAGAGTATAAAAAACCAAAACTTTGTGAAGAAAATAAATACCTACTTATCTAACCAACCTAAAACCAAAATTAGAATTACTAAATTTAAATGTTTTCCTCAAAAATCGGTTAATTTGGTAAAGATTATTTTTCAAACATTGTAAAAACTTAGCTAAAGAGATAATTCCAGTTAGATTACATAATAGAACAGATGTGATTAGACCCAATGTTCCCAGGTCTCGTCTTTTGTGCTTCTAGAAACTGACCCTCATGAAGTATACCTGACTATTGTGAGTCTCAAAACTACAGTGCTCCTGGCTGGGATGGTATAAGCACCAAGTTTCTTAAATATATAGGGAGTAGTTTCCCATAATTACTCATTTGGTTAATCTCTCTTCACAGGGAGTGTTTCCACCTGCTAAAACAAGCAATTATTACACCTGTTACAAGAATGTAACAGAGAAGATGTTTCAAATTATCCCCAATTCCTTCTCACTCCATATCAAAAGTACTTGAAAAATTAATTAATAAAAGACTAATTACCTACCTCCAGAAGTATAGTCTACTTTCGATCACAATTCGGTTTTAGACAGGGTCTGTCAACCGAAGATGCAGTTACCTCACTATCTTGTCATATTGTTAATGAAGTTGATAAAGTAATAAATTATCAAGTTTTTATCGACTTAAAAAAGGCATTGATACGGTTTCTTCCTATTCTTCAAGATAGAAATTGGTATTAGGGGTATTCACTCACATTGTTCCTATTACTCAGTGAACGAAAGCAACAGTTAAAATAGGTCAATAATCAGCAACAATCTGACGTCACATATGGGTCCACAAGGTAGTTTCTGGGCGACCTTATTTTAATTAATAAAACTTATGCGATTTAAAATTGATAGTGGGAAAGTCTACTCCTACGCATACACTGCTGTTGTCTTCACTGGGAAAATATTGACTCGGTGTCAATACAGAAATAGGGCTTTCAAAATAGATAACTGGTTAAAGAAAACTTATTATCATTAAAGTAAGTAAAACTAATACATTTTCTTCACTAAATACAATAGCCCCAACCTCAAACAGATCTAGAAATAAAAATAATAACTGTAGCACCAGAGTAAACTGTACATTAAAATATAAATAAAGTTCATCACACTAAATATCTAGGAGTGGTAGTTGATCAAAGAATGTCATGGCATGAGCACCTAGAACAAGTTATAAGTAGGATTCAAAGTTATTTGGAATTTAAAACTCTAAGGCACATCCTACAAAAATCTACTAATACAATATACAATCGCTGGCTCAGTCAATTTTAGTGTATGTATCCCAGTTTGGGGGTGCTACAAAGATGAAGTTCCTGGATTGGAGAGGGCACAAAGAATTTTACTAAAAGTAATGATGTTTAACCTTATAGATTTTCCACCTCTGATCTTTATGCCTCTTGTGGTGTCTTATCGGTCAGGCAACTGTACATTTTTTCACTACCTTAAGATTGCACAAGTCTCTTAAATATGATGGTCGCAAACTGACAAAAGACCAAATATACTGTTGCTCCTTTGAGAGATCTAAATCAGTTTTGCTATGAGACAATTTCAATGCCAAGCTGCTAAACTTTATAATAAATTAAATAAAATATTAAATATATAACATTGATAAACATGAATTAAAACTCCTACTTAAATCCTAGAAACATTTAGCTATGAAGACACTGAAGCCTTTGTAGGTAATCATGAATCATAATACACTAGTAATTAGTCAATTCTACAATCAGTCATGAAAATTCATTCTCATAAACACACAAACACACACACACACATACACATACACACATATATCATTATTCACATTTTAACCTTAGATTATGTTTAGTAAATTGTAAAATTGTAATACTTAGCTTAGCTATACGTGTTAAATTAAATTATAATTAGTTGGTACACCTATTAATGGAAGAGCGGTTCTCCTAACACAAGTGCTTATGCGCTTAAAAGGAGGTCCCAATCACTTATCAGCTATTGTAAAATCCTTGAGATAACGAATAAAATTCTTATTATTATTATTATATCAAATTAAAAACATTTACTGCCAGTTTTCAAATAGACGAAATAGAAGAACTGACCGCCACTCTTTTTAATAGCTAAGTTTTTTGTATTACCCAATGTTTGTAAGGAGCTGCAACCATTACACCATGTTCCACGTGATTTCTTAAGTAATTAATAGTTAATTAATAATATTAAAATAAATTAAAAACAAAGATTTGTCCTCTATCAGCAGGAGGCATAGTGAAATAGGAGCACGCACTTACATTCTGATGGGAACAACACGCAATTCAATTGCGATGTTTCCTAAATAATTTAATCTTAACTGTAATGTTTGCTGATGCACGGACCGACGATTTCTACTTGATGAAGCGGTAGAGGTGCGTGCGTATAAGCTGCTTAGTGATAGCAACATTATAAAATAAATGTTTAAAAGGCTTGACTTGGAAGCGATGGATAAGGAAGAAATTAAATAGCTTTAAATCAAACCATTTGTTATTTGTAAATAGTAATAAAAAAATTCTTCTGTTTTGTAGCTACTACTTATATTATACGAGTATATTAATTGTGACTCAATTAACCTTTGGATTAGCTTTTACATTTTTGTTTATACATATTATTATTTATTCTTTAGATTTTACTTAGTTACTACAAGCTATTTTGAGTTTTTGAAGTTATACTTCTTTAGGCGCGTTATGAAAAATTGATGAGAGTGAAATTTTACGATGCGCGCGCACCTGAGACACAAAATTGTCAGTGTGATTATAGCGTGCGCGAGCGAGATAGGAATAAGACAATCTACAAGTAAAAAGAAATAGAATATGCGTGAAGTTCGCAGCGCAGACATGACATTTGTCATTTACCTTTTAAACAAATAAAGGAGTTTTAATTTTTTTTTTAAATAATGCCAAAGAAGTATAACTTCTTACGCGCGTACATAAGTACACGCACCCTTTTTTTTGTTAATTAATTATGCACTTCTTGTACATTACCCTCTGTAGGTGTTTCTTTATTTATTGTTCCATATTAGGGTTGCCTGGAAGTAATCGCTTGTTAGCGATAAGGCCGCCCGTTGCCTAATAACTTATGTAACCTGCTTTTTTATATGATTTTGTATATTATGGTAACGAAGTTTAATTACATAAATAAAATAATACATTTTTCTTACTTACCGGATAGTATCTCAAAACCAACTCATTAAGCAGAGTGGAAATAGCGTAGAAGACTCCGATATTGAGGCCGTAGGAGATAAGCAACAATATATAGTTTCGGTTGGTCATTAATTTCTTTAGTGACTGCAGGAAGTTGGAGTCAAGTGCCGCGCCAAGATCAGCTGCTGCTGAAGGTGGAGATGCTGGGGCCGCTTTGAAAACTGAAACGGGAATTGTATTATAAATAGTTTCCCGATAATCTCCATGATAAGATTTAGTAGTAATATAAACAATACGTAAACATCACTAACAATAAATGATTGTATAGAGAACTGCAACAATGTGTTTGCAAACTCCGCACGAGTGAACACAGCGGTATAGAAATCAAACATTATTCGTGTGACTAAATTGTATGTAAGAAAAATTATAATAACACTTTGTTCACAAAAAATAGAAGACCAAATATGTAAATGGGCCGTTTTACTGCTTAAAGCCTCCATACAACCAAGACAAATAATCTAAACATTTAACAACAAAATGTATAGGTAGATAATTAGATAGTTCATAAATATGAAGCGGTAAAAATAAACCACTCAAAATGTCAAAGTCAAGTCATAAATCATTTATTCATATAGGTAACACTATTTACACTTATGAACGTCAAAAAAGAAACATACATTAAATGCTTCTAATTTTACATTTACTGCCAGTTTTCAAATCAAGGGCGTAGAACGGAAGAGAAGAACTGGCAATAAACTCTCCGCCACACTTTTTAATCACCAAGTTTTATGTTTTACACAACGTTTGTAAGGAGCTGCAACCATTACACCATGTTCCACATGATATCTTAAGTGATAAATAATAATAAAATAAATTAAAAACAAAGATTTGTCCTCTATTAGCACTAGGCATGGTGAAATAGGAGCACGCTCTTACATTTTCGTAGAAGTAATGTTCTAATCTAAGTGTATTTTAAATAGAACAAGGGCAGGAGGCTCATATGATGTTAAATGACACTCGTTCACCGGTTCATGACAGGCTCTCATGGACACTCACACAGCCAGAAAGCTCGCAAGTGCCTTCGTCTCTTTAATGGAATATTATTATATTCGCGTAAACTTTGGTTTACAATAATCTCTGATTTTGCATTTCGTAGATTTCTGACATTTCGTAACTGTTGCTACTAAAAACGTTCTGCTCCGAATAAAGAACACATTTGACCCAATTGAGGGCAATGAAAAATAAAATGCTAGGAATTTTTTATATTTTACCTACAAAAAGGTAAATCTAAATATTCACTTACTCCAGTCACCTAATACAAAAATAACAAATATTTCAATATTAAGAACAATATATCGAATTAAATTTCATTTATTAATTTTATTTTTTAGCTGGCATCACCGCCTCTTAATTCTAGGTTTAGTCAACCTTATAAAATGTTTTCTTTACTTGTGCGTTTTTACTGTTTGTAACTTTTAATGTGGAGCACCGCACTTAATGAAATGGATAAATTCACTAACAAATAAAATGTATGTATAGACTCAGATGTTCGGTCTCGTATTGAAATTGAAAAATGTGCCCGGCCAAAAAGGTTTGTAATCTCTGACATGTCAAAAAATGATAGCTGTCAGAATTCTACGGAACTAAAAATTCAGAGTATATATAATTAATATTCAAGTTATATGATATACTTACATAGTACAATAAGCACCGAGAGAACTGTGGTGATTGCAGCTACAAGATAGAACATGAATTTGAAGTCTTCGCCAATCTCCTCAACTGTACCTTGTGCGCGAACTATGATGGGTGGTAGCAGAAAACCCAGGGCGATACCGAGCTAAAATAATAAGAAGTAAATATGAAAAGGACATAATCGAGCAAAAATAAAAAAATATGTTTATTATCGAATATAAGATACAGGTATCACTTATTCCCCGTCATTAAATTTGTATCGGTAGACATCCCTACTCATCGGTAAAGAAGACAGAGGGTGTAGGCCGAGAGAAAAAGCCGGCGTAAAAAACTCTCGGTACTCTTTTAAAATATCAAATCATCATACAAAATGATAGACAAATGAATGGCAAACATCAATAGAAGAAACCAGACGGAGTAAGATACGGTCCGCTCTTTATTTGTATTAAATTACAAAACTTAACGGAATCATCGCAGTCCAGTTTCCGGATGCAGCACCTGTTCACAGGCACGGCGTGTGAGCCAGCCATCGTTTTAATCAGTATCGGATACATATATTTTTGAGTCTGTTTTCAGGCTCCGAAATTAATTGTGACACACAAATCGTAATATTTCTATCGTAATACTTCTATTAATTTTATAATTGACTGGCAAATTTATGAAGGCTTTGTGATTAAGACATGCACAGCCAGAATTTGAATTCGCGATCATAAGATTGAGAGTCACACACATTAAGCTGACACTAGTCGCTACATTAAAACATGTATAAAACTAATACAAACAAATAACAACGAAATAAATATATAGACATTGTAAAGAGAACTTTTTGTGCAGAAAAATCTGTATTTTACGACAAAGTAAAAAATATTAAAACATGAAATATTGAGTATAGTTCTCGTTTATTTATAATGATGAATAAATGTAAAAATATGCCATTGTTAATATTTTATTACTCATATAAAGTATTTTAAAATATGTTGATATGATTTCGATATCGTTATCGTTGAAATCATATATATACGTATATAGTATATGATTTAAACGTTCTAACAATAACTACAATACAATAAATTTAATTAAAGATGTTATAAATAAGACACTTTCCACATGTACACTATGTAAGTGTCAATAATTCAAACATATACTGTTTAGCTTAATGTTTAAAAATAAAAATGTTCAATCATGAATTCGTAAAAAATATTCTGAATTATAGAATTTTTTCGTTTAATATTATTCTAATGACCTTATTTAAAAATCTCACTTTTCTAGAAATGTTAAATTCAAATCTTTGATCTTTAAAAAGCTACGAATATGTATGCTCCCATTTCCGAATAATATAAAAATTTAATTATATCCACGCTTTATTAGAACTGGGGCGTGATTTGGTCAGATTATGCGTGGGGTTCAATTCCCCAATGTTCTCTTGTACGAGAAACATAAAAAGGGAAAGACATCAAATGATTCGAGTCGAGAACTACAGAAACTGGAAACCGACGCATTTAGAACTTAATATCGTAAATAATTATTTTCAAGACTAAGATTTAAGCTTAGTATAAATAGCTTTCAAGGCCCATTTGCCCTTAGATTTACCAACAACTTCCCTCTCTTCCATTCAATTTGTGTAAATTACGGTCCCAAGTAAGCTCAGTAATTCATTGACAACAGAACGGTGAGATTTAGGCTGAAGCTCTGAAACATTTTCCCTTAATTTTCAATAATTTTTCATAATTGAAACTGTGTAAGCAAATAATATTAAATTTAATTAAGTTCTTTAGCGAATATCTATGAAAACATAGTAATTTAAATACAAAAATTTGGATTGGTCAGATAACACCAGGCAAATTTATATATATAGTTGTTTATATACCACGGAAAACCACTCGCTATTGAATTAAAAATGTACATTTATTCACCTTTCAGTGTGATTTACGCCAATTAGTGTTCCGGTTTTAAAACGTTCGGGGAGTAATAACTATGCTTAATTAATTAGCAAATTTAATTTATTACTTTGGAGTTATTTAGTTACGGTTCGATCATCGAGATGAAAACTATTGTGATCGCGTAAATATTTAAAACTGTCGCAAGTTTTCTATTTATATATAAGGTATTTGTTAATCGGAAGACACGGCGGAACACAAATCTATATGGACGGCAGCAAAAGTAAAGGAGAAGGCGCCGCTTGGACGGAATGGAAATAAAGATTAAGCAGATGACGATACGAAGAGTGAAGAGAAAGGTTTTTCAAGCCGAATTGACGGCGCTTACTTTAGGCTTGTGTGTTCAGGCAGATCTTTGAGGAGCAGAGAGATTTGACCCATCCGTATATCTCACTGCTATATCGTGTATTGTTATATTGTGACTATATTTAATGGCTATTTAATTTATATCCCGTTTGATCTGAACTGAATCACACTATTCTACATAAAGCACTTCATAAAACGCGCTCAATTCTGCCTGATTGAATTCCCATTAAATGCCAAGAGCGTAAAATCAAATGTGGGTGGGTGGGTAAATCCGCTAATATAGAAATCTACATTTGTTCAGAGACAATTAGAACGCTGACGGAGTGAATAATCTAGTCGGAATAGTTCAATATTGAAACTAATGGGTGGCTTTTCAAAGCTTTCATACAATTTGCATGTGAGAGTGTATTTAAATCCGTAAAGCCGTCTTTTAAAAAGAGGTTTTCCAGTGATTCCTACATTTTTTTTAATAGAAAAGGGGCCAAATGCTTACCTGATGTTAAGTGATACCGCCGCCCATGTACACTCTCACTGCCATAGGGCTCGCGAGTGGGTTGCCGGCGTTTTAAGAATTGACACGCTCTTTACTTAAAGGACTCTAAGTCGAATTGGTTCAAAAATACTTCAGTGGGCACCTAGTACTACATAGTGGAACATTCTTACATTATTCCAAACATACTTTTAGGTATGCTAAGATTTTTTTTCACAATGTGTGCAAAGGTTTTATGTATTGTACTGGCAAAGTCAAAATTTACATATAGAAATATACACACGTAACACTATGTTTACAGACCGTTCATTAACGCGTCCTAAATATTAACATTTAATTTTTCTGTTTTTACATATTTTTCTGTTAAAGTTGAAAATAATTTGTTTTATATTTACTTTTCAAAGCTTCAAAATGAAACCGCATTTTACCAAAATACAGTAAGTACCTTTAAAATTAAACTTTCGTTAGAAATGCTGAAAAACTGTAACTTTGAAAATTATTTTAATTTATTTAATGTTACGGTAAGCCTTTGAATAAATAAAGCAAATCAAGTGGAAATGGATAGGCCATACACTCCAAAGAGATTCCAATTATATCCCCAAGCAGGCGCTTGATTGAAATCTGCAAAGAAGATGCATTGCAGATGAGGAAAAGAGAGCTGGACAAACTTTGAGCAAGGTGCAAGGTTCAACACCGAACGCGATGGAGACTCACTTTGGACGCCCTCTGCCCCATCTAGGGGTTATAGGACAATCATGTTTTTAAATAAATATATAATTTAGTTTTTATGTTTAAACAAATATCATGCAGAAATCTTGAAGCCAACCCAGAAACAAACAGTAACTTGGGACCAAATTTTAAAATAGTTTGCAACTATCCTGTCTAGCTGCGAAAGTTGTCAAGCATGTTAAAAATTGCTGATGATTTAAAATTAAAACTAGTTAATTTATTACTATTTCTTAACACAAAACTCTTGATGTTTGTTAGTATTTCAATAAAGTTAATTGAAACACTAACAAATAGTGTTAATGGTGTTTTTAGTTATTATATTTTAAGGTTAGTTATTTTATTTTTATTGTTCTTTTATTGTATTTATAAGCTAGGTTAAGTTAAAGATAATATGTGAAAAAAAACCATATAGAGTTATCTTAAATATATACTTATTATTATTATATGTTGAATAAATTGAAACAAGTTTTAGAATTTTATTTCTATGACATATTCATCTCGTAAACTCCAATATAATATCATAATGCTATGCTAGACATATTTCTGTGTCTGTGTGTTTTTCTGTTCATCTGAAATCTGCTATATAAAAAAGCTATATTGAATAAAATTGCGCTAAAATAAAAATTATTTTAAAACTAAAATTTCTCATATACATAAACGTTTCAAGCTAAAACAACTATCATCAGAAATCCAGAATTCATCGAATAAGCTCCAGCATTCCAGAATGATTCCAGTACACAAACAATATCCCCGCAATAATTCCTCAGCAACGAAATATACGAGTGTGGATCAAGTGATCAGAATCACAGTCCCCTCGTATCAAATTGATTACTTCCTCCAGCAATCGCACAGTTTTGTTACTCAAACCTCTATTATAGCATTGTCTAATAAAAACGACGGTAACTCGTCACATTCCATTCCATTCCTTTGTGACATGAAGAGGTGGGAAGTATTGTACTAAGTTTTGCTTGAAAGACTTACGGTCTTAATTCTTATTCATATAAGTATTAACGGCAAAGTTAAACGCGATAATGACAAAATATTAAATTTAATGTATGTTAGAAATATGCTTGGAGACTTAAAAAATTATTAACTACAAACTTGCTATATTTCATAATATTTCTTTCTTAACATGAAATATTTCGGCATTATTATAATTGATTAAGCTAATGACTTGTGTCTTCTCGACAAGATATAAACCTACGTCCACATATAGTCAATTTAGACTTATATACATTATAATTTTTTTAAACATTTGAATCACGTATTCGTGATAAAATCTTTCAATTGGATTTCTATTTCCAAATAATACATTTATATATAACAGTTGTCGAATGAATGCAATTTCTTTATCTACTAGTTGGGTGGATATAAAATAAAAGCGTTAATCGACAGCATAATTACTAAGTACTAAGATATTTTTTGTTATAATAAACCTAAACATCGTACTACTGAGCATACGTAGGATAAATAGCGTAATTGAGGTTGGAGCAGAAAATTGCCCGCAACAGTATATTTACAGAGTATATAAGGTGTTATCACCACGCTTCAGGCACGCTAATATTCTTCATAAAACATTGTTATTTTATGAACAAAAAATATGTGACATAAAAGACAAACATAAACACTGTCTAGTGTTTATTTACTTTGTAAAAATTATATATTTTTTGTCATGTTATAAAAATGTAAGCAAAGATGTGTTTGTGTAACGGACGTTGACTTTTAGTAGTATCGTAAGTTTATTGTAATAATTATATTTTCATTTCATGCTAATCGTAAATAAATAATTTGTACAGCAGTAATAAAAGTAATAATTTTTATGGAATACTTTTTCAAAGAAATTGTATTAATATCAATATTCGTCAGATACTTTTCACTTAGTGGTTAAGCGCGAATTCTCAACCTTCGGGCAGTGGGTTCAACGACTGTCCAATGTGTTTTTCTTTCTATGTGTGCAATTAAAAATTAAATTGCTTGACGTGTGTAAGGCACCAAAGGCTGATCATCTACTTGGCTATTAAAACAAATTTCCATTGAAACATATGTAGAAACCTAAGTTAGAAGATCCATAAATTATGATCATTATCTGCTACACAAAAAGCTATTTACCTGATTTCCAAAAACTCCTATACTGCAGGCAGATGAAACCTGGTCAGCTCCAAACCAAACTGCAGCTAGTCGAGGTGGTACATTCAAAATGAACACCTGTGATATGGCCACTATTGTCTGGCCTGTGAAACCAACCCAGAACATATCTTGTGGCACAGACAATACCTTCAGCCAGGCACCCGCACATGTTCCCAGCGAACCGATAATCGTTGTCACACGGAGACCCTGAAAATTTTCTATTATTTAGCCATAATATTTATATCTCTTTTACTATCATAAATCTTAATATATAAAACAAATTCAGGTTTATTCGAGAACGGCTGGACCGATATTCATGGTTTTTTGTTGTAATCGTCTCCCTGCCCAATAACTGTAAAAAAACTTTGGAAAGTTTACGAAAAAAATAAAACAAAGAAGAAAAATCCAATACAAAATGTTTATGGATTTCGAAACTGTCAAATATTTAAGATAAAGTGAGTACTAGTACTGAGGCTAGCCTCAGAAAAAACCCTATTTAAATAAAGGTTTTGAATCGATAATCCACAATATTGGGATAATGTGTTTTGTGTAAGTTAAGTAAGGAATAACTATTAATCTACTTAAATAATTAACAAACAAGGCAATACAACATTGTAATGTTGAGTATAGCTATTCGGTGATAGTAGTGATCTTAATATTTATTTCGTATTCATTCGATTTCATAAAACCATCCAGCAAATCTGTATTGACATTCATTGATATGTATTGACTGTTAGGCGGTACGAAGTTCGCCGGGTCAGTTATTATGATTGTCAAATTATCGGATTTTTGCATTTTCTTAAATACTACAGTACTTTATAAAACCTATTATATTACAATTACTACTGTAATTGAAAACACAGATTTCAAGGAATATATATTTTCTTACCAAAAAGGTAGACATGCATTGTTGGAGGCTTACAGAACTGTACACCAATTTTAGCAGAATTAGAAATAAAGTTGCATCAACGTTTAACCACACTTCATACCGTCTATAAAAGAAAAGTTTTGCATAAATTTGTAAATATTTTGAATTTTAAATCTCAAGATTCCCACAGATTATTAAACAATTCTCATAGAGTACGGAAGCATGAGCCTACAAAAAGAAAACACGAAAAATAAACCTGTGTATAAATCAGTGGTGTGGCCCACTGCAAAAGCAGTGATTTGCTTGTACATAAAATTAACATAACATAACATTTATAATACTAATGAAACACACAACATAATAATAATAATTAAAAAAGAAAAAATCAAAAAATTTGGAAAAAAAGGAATAATGTAAATTAAAAGTGTGTTTTGATGTGATGTGTGTGTGTTGTGGTAGCATTATGCTGTGGAGCAGACGAGTTCTCCAGGGCTGGTCATTCTGCCAGAGACCACAACAGTTAGTTGGTAATTAAAGCTCACTTCAGCCTATTTTGGTTAAAGTGAGGGTGTTTTTGTATTTCTGTGTGTGCTTTCATAAAATAATAATTTTTATTTTCTTTCTAAAATAAGGTGCAGCGTAGAGAAAGTATAATTTTTGTAATACAACAAGCCTAGTAGTTTTAGTTAGTGTAAAAAGATTCTTAAGCTAGGACGTTGGGTTTAATTAGTGTGAAATGTATAGGAAATAATAACAACAATCAAGGCCAATACGAAGCTATTTCCTAAATCATCCTACACAATAAAAATAACAATAGTCTGTAATTTTGTATTATTGTCACGCGAGTAGTCTGTGTACAAGGTCGGTTTGACAGTTTTATATTACCCTTCCTGTCACCTCCTGGGGTTCAGTCAGTTTATTCCGGAGCAGCATGAACTTTGGTCTAGAGGTTTTAGCGTGCAACGCTCTTCTGTAGGTTCGAAACCCGACTGTGCATCAATGGACTTTCTATCTATATATTCGTTTTTACAACAAACTCCCAAGGGAAATTAGAGAATTATCACTAAATAAATTCAAAGCCCTCGTTAAACGTAAATCTTTATATATATAATTCTTCTGTGAGTGTGTATGTCACTGAACTTCTCTCAAACGACTGGACCGATTTTGATGAAATTTTTTGTGTGTGTTCAAGGGGATCTGGGAATGGTTTAGATTCACAAATCAGCCCGGCAGATGGCACTGCAGTCGGTACTTTCATACTTTGCTTAATATCCTAATCGCTTTAAATATCATGCAGGACAACGTCTGTGGGGTCCACTAGTTAATCAATAAAGCTTTTTATAAATTTGACGAATACTTAAATGATCCTAATCCTTGGGATTGATTTGCTCCAGTTCAAACAATTTGTATGAACTATGACCCAATACTTAAAAAGATTGGCGGAAAGTTTTTTGCTAGTTCTACTTACCCGCTCTACGCCCTTGACTTGCGAACTGGTAGTAAATGTAAATTAAAAATTAATTTAACTTCTTTCTGACGTTCATAAGTGTACTTGTTTACCTATATGAATAAAGATAGTTTGAGTATGCGCATTAACAATCACTCGTACGGTGAAGGAAATATCGCGAGGAAATCGACATGCCTTAGACCCAAAAAGTCAACGTTGTGTGTCAGGCACAGACAGCTGATCACAAATTTGCCTATTAGCAAATATGATCACGAAACGGACACAGAAATTTGAGACCCAGACCTAAAAGGTTGTAGTGCCATAGCTTTTTTTCAATACAGTAACGAGTGAAAAGGTAGATCTTGTCTATTTATCCTTGGTCCCCCAACGTGAAGTACACAAAATCTAACTAGCAATATACACGAACCATATTTACTCTAAATTAATCTCTTAAATTACAAACACAACGTTCAAATAATATCTTAATAGGATAATAAAAATAATCACTTGTTTATATAACATTGTTATTTTAACGTGACTACTCGAGGTCTAATGATACTTTACATAATTTTTTCAGATTTATAAGGATTTTTATTTCTTTAATTTCCTTTCCTTATTTTCTAATTAAGTGATTATAAATAAATGCGATTGTTTATACGGATTCTTAACTCAACGGAAAGCGTGCGAATCTCATCCCTAAAGTCAACCCAGCAGCAGAGCCAGATTTTTCTTTCTGCTTGGAAGAGATCGCTCGAAAGCGTTTAGGCCGCCAGTTGCCCTCCATTTTATTTAAGTATTTTAATAGTACCATGTTTCTGTATATTTGCAACAAAGTGTTAATAATTAAATAAAAAAAGTGCGTGCGTACAAAGTACACATGTCAGAAGTGAAACTTCTTTGGCAAAATAATTTTTAACTCTTGTTCATATTTATACAAATCTTAGTATTTAGATTTCCGAGACTTAGAGTGAGGGAAAAAGAAGATATGATAGGCATTTAATGAATTCAATTGTCATTGAAATATTAAGTTTCAAAAATTAATACTAGTAGAGTAAAGTTAGAAATAAATTTAATTGTTTAAATTTATTTCTTAGATAATCAAAGAAGTGGCATTTTAATTTACAATTAGTTTTTTGAGTTTTTAATTAATTATTCTGCATAAAACATAAAATACTAATATTTCATAAATTCTCTTAACGAAATATTAATTTTAAAAATAGAATTTCTATAAAGTAATTCACATTTTATCCTCATTCACCTAAAGAAGTTTCACTTAAATAAAATACAATAAATAAAATTATATTTAAATATAACGTGATTTTCAAAGCTCTAACTAAACGTGAACAAATCAACCGGATCACTATTGTGTATTGTCATTTATTGTTGTTGTATAAAGTAATTCTATGCACTTGAGTTTCCGACTATCTGATTAGGCTTCGGCCTTACTTTAAAACGTGGACGAATTATTGTATTGTTACCGTGGATACTGGTCTTCAGATTAGAAAGAGAGACGCACGAACTATGAATGGTACCTTAGGGTGAGTTTAAGAGTAAAATTTAGAAATGAGAACGCGCGAACTATGGCTCACACTGTCAAAATTCTAATGCAGTTGCCGTACAGAAGTAGTAGTACTAAGATTCAAGTCTGAATGATTCCCTTGTACCCATGGTAAACGTGATACAAACCCAGACTTAATAAGATATTTTTAATTAAATTATGCTCATCTTTCTACTAGTACTTGAACTAGGAGTTAAAGAGACAATTTTATACAACAAAATCCAGTTATAAACCAGTAGTAATAAACATACTCGTTAGTTAATAATTAAATTCACCTATAAAGCTATTTCTGCATTTAAATACCACAGAGAATGTAGAAGTCAATGCAGTTAACGTACCCTTTTAGTCAGAACGCAGTTTACTCTGAAGCGTGAAAAATGCTCATAAACAGCACGTACTATAAACAATAATGTAAATGAAATTTTGTATTCGGTTACTCTGTTTATTTAGTAATGCTTTTGAGCCTTTGTTAATTTAATTTCCCTTTATAAACCAGGGATCAAACCAGAAGAAGATTCGACTGTATAAGTGTAGAAAGGTCGTGGTTTCGTTTTCCGACTTTTGACTATTTACCTGAAGGACAAGTTGAATTTGTTAGGGAATTATTTGGTTTTAGATAGGGGAGGCACGGCAAAATGTCTTAAATATCCCTAAAATAACTTTGAAATTATTCGTTTGTGCACTTTCTCCCTATATTTGCTAATTATACTGTGCACATAAGTTTCGCAGTGTCTTCCTATAATATCTTAATTGATTTTCTTGTAAATAATAAATCACAATAGCAAATAGCAGTAACAGATATCTTCCAAACGGAAGCAGTTTTTCTTGATCCAGCGTGCGACCAAGTGAAGTATGACCATTCATACAAGAATATTTTCACAACAGAGTATTAAAAATACCAAGGTATCATTCTTAGACATTGTTTTGCCCACTCGAGTGTGTCTACGTGTCGTTTTTCTGTCAGAAAATAAACATGTGTAGTTTGCGGTTTGAAGAATACTTGCTACGTTCCCAAATTGCCATTTTGACGTTCAAATATTTTAAATAGGCCAGCGCATATTTTAACTATACATGTTCATCTAGAACATGCAACACATTTCCCAACTCTTGTTTTGGCTGATCGGGGTATTTGTTGCGTTTCCCCGAGGGAGTCGGTGCGGAATAAGTTTAATTAATTAAATATTATGACACTAACTGGTCAATATATTTTTGAAGCCTTATTGCATGTACAAAAAAAATTTAAACGATTTTAAAACACATGGTGACTTTCATCAGTATTATACTCGAAACAGAACTAATCTAAACGACCAACCAGGCTCCAGAAGATAAAACACTCCTTATATGAAAATTGTATTCGTTTTTACTACAAACTCCCAAGCGAAATTAGAGAATTATCACTAAATAAATTCAAAACTCTCATTAAACGTAAATTAATCAATTAAGCTCCAGTTCAAATATTTATAGATGCTCTGCCTTACAAACAATTTGTATGACTCAAAACTTGTCAATTAAAAAGAGTGGCGGAGAGTTTCTTGCCAGTTCTTCTTGCCTTCTCTACAAACTTGACTTGCGAAATATAAATTTAACATATAGTAAATATAAATTTAACATATTTTCTATGTACTTGGTTACCTATATGAATAAAGTTATTTTGAGTTTGAGTTGATTTGTTTCTCGATTCGATTCTGTTCTTGCCTTGCGAAATATGCTCTATATCAAAATAAACAGAACTACAATTTCGTTTAACTACTGTAATTAATAAGATAAGCTTCTATTCAATTTCCAAAAACTAATTTAGCTGTTTTAAAAAATATATTTCTGAACAAAAATATTCACTAAAAACTAACTTTTTCGTCAAGACTGTACTTTTAGAGTAATTATTTACGGAAAAATCTCATACCGTTTTACATTAATATTTGAGCCGTGACGCAGTTAAGCGCAGTACCAAAATTCAAAAGCTGCTTCGAGGTTGCGTCGTCGTCGTTATTCATAAATATCGTTACTAGGCAGAGTGCTAATAAAACATTACTAATTAATATCAATTTACGAACGTTTAAAGGTGTTTACTAATGAGTTGAAACTCATTTGTACTATCAGTTATGAAATGTATAATTAATTTTCTAATTGATACAATTTGTCATTTTCATTTATAATTAGTAATACAATATCTATGGCATATTAATGACAATATAGGGCGAAGTTTAGATAAAAATATGTTTTATCTAAATTTACCAAGTCTCAAATTTAATTAAGTTTTTTATAATTCATACTTCTTTAAACCCAAAAAAACCCAAAAAAACTTAAAAAAAAAAGAACAAAATATAATTGACATAATTACTACTTTTTTAATCACTAAAATACTTAGAATGCATACAAATATTTTAGTCAGGTACTAAACAATTGTAATTAACGATAATAATAAGTTTTTTTACTTGTGCTATTTATATAAGTATTATCTCATATAATAGATAAAAGCAAATAAAGTCAATTTCCGTTCCGGTAAATTCAGTTTGTTTACGAGTAATCTACAAGTATAAAACAATCCTTGCTGCATTTGCTTAGAATTAAATAAACTGTGCTCTACCTAGTAGTGCTATTTTAATATGTTCAGTAGTTGTAACGTCAGAGAACAGTTAATCTATCATACATAACCTTTTGAGTTTATAGAATAGTTGCAGTAACAAAGAGCAGTTTAGTATTGTCTATTAACATAACTTTTATTCATTTAAAAAAAACTCTTTTTTCCCCTTAAAGAGCAGTTTAATGTCCATTGATAACAAAATATCCGCTTACTTTCCTGATTTTCCGTTTAAACGGAAAAACGGAATCTGCCTGCACTCTGTCACTGTTATTGAACTATGTAATAGCTTTTCGATGTTTTTGTATGCTCTTTTTCAACATTTCATAATAAAAGAAAAAGGGTGTGTGAACACTATCACCATTATTCGCACATAATATTATACCTAATACAGCAAAAGATGAGGACAAATAAGGCTCAGTGTAAGATAAAGTCCCAAGATGCGACGACTAAAAACTTACAACATTTAATTTAACTAAATTAAATAATCTAGTGGCGCGAGGACCATGTCTTGACCTCAGATTGAATCCGTTTCTAAGACAATTTTTATTCCATAGACTAGTAGGTGATCGACCTTCTGTCTGACACATGTCACCGATAATTAGATTTCCTCCTGAAAACCTCGTACGAGCGAGTGTTAGGTGCGTACATAGACTAAAAAGTTCATTGGTGCACAATCGAAGGTACACCAGCGACTTCGATGATGATTGAAAGGAGAAATATTATAGTTCGTTCAACTTCTTTCCTACGTCAATCAAAATAGCCTTATAATTTCCACAGTCCACTGTTTTTATTATTTACGTTATTATAATTTATTATCAGTATTATATACTTACTTATATGTTATAAAGTATTACATATTTGTATAACTCTATTAAAGTTTTTAAATTATCTTCTCTTGCTGAACATCGTAAAGTTGCTATATGCTTTTAAAACAGTTATATTGACAATATTCAATTCCTAAGTGAAATCAAATTTATTATATTTGACGGACGTATGGTGTGGTGACTTTAACTAGAAATCTTAAACAACGTCAGGTTCTACAAATCAAAGTAATTAAATTTATCTTTCTTTATTAATCTTACTTATTAATAAACTTATTGATACTAAATTAATGAACAATAAGCAGTTGCTCAGATACAGAAAATGCAACAGTAATGCAAAGCTTTAAAAAAATTAACAAATACACACAAGCATTAAATTTAGCTTTAATCTCACACACTGGTATAAAATCAGAACCGTGAACGGTTGCAAAAATATAACTTATTTCAGAGCGAGTTTTTACCTTCCCGTATCTGGGAAATAGTAGCAGTGGACTTCTAAAATGTTTATTATTGTTACAAGAAAGTGTCATTATAAAGAAAATATTGCGGTCATGTACGACGGTCAATGTAAGCAACATTACAGCATAAGGCTAACACAACATAATAACATATAAATTAACATACTGACTTCATCGCATTATTCCAAACCGTACCAACCAAGAGGATAAAAATCGAGAAAACTGTGATTGAGCTGTTTAAATTGTTTTCCCGTTGAGTTTATTAAAAATTCACGGTAATTTTATTAATAACTTCTGATTATTAAATCCATTTTAAACCGTATTTAACTCGGTACTTCATTGTAATTGAGAATATGTTATTTTTTTAAATATTTCATATGGATGAAGATTAAAAGAAATTATGGAGAGTTTCTCGCCAGTTCTTTTTGTCCGTTCCATGCCTTTGATTTAAAATCAAGCAAATGTATATTTTCGAAAATTACACGAAATCATGATATTTAATTTAAATCGTGAGCCGTTAAACTAGTACTACATCAAAATATATGTGGATAGAATAAAACTAATTCATTTGCAATTATTTGAATTATTGACGACTCATTGGTCTAGTGGTTAGTACCCCTGACTGCGAATCCATGGGTCCCGGGTTCGATCCCCGGCTGAGACGAACATCGATGTGATGAGCATTTGGTGTTGTGCTTAGGTCTTGGGTGTTTAAATATGTATTTATATGTCTATCTATCTATAATATGTATGTATATCCGTTGCCTAGTACCCATAACACAAGCTTCACCAGCTTAGCATGGGACTAGGTCAATTGGTGTGAATTGTCTTTAAAAAAAAAAAAAAATTATTTGACTACGTTCAAATGATGACAATAAATATATAATTATTTTTAATCTGCATTCATTAAAAGTTACTTATTTTAACACTAAAATCTAGTCTTAGTTTTAATATTTGAAAGTTCAGGCAATGTTTTTATTATTTACGCAGTTTCCTTGTTCGGTTGCGGAACTCAATAAACCCATACTTAATTTAATCACAGTAAATAATCATCAAAAGCTTCGCAAATGAAAGCAAACTACGCTTCAAAAATGTTATCCCTCAAACAGGTTTTAATATCTAGTTATTGATGCAATTTTAACATAGTATACTAAAGGTTGATTCATAAATTAACTACTTGATAATATTATACTAATTTTGTCAGTAATATAATTATTACGTGTGAATCATAAATTTAATAAGACTATGACTTAAAATGTAACAAATAAATTATTAATTACTAGTTGATGTTTTAATCGTAACACATAAAACAAAAAGTTTTTTAATAGAAATCAGGAGTCCATTTATAAGCGTGTTCAAACAAACACAGCAACAAAAAATATTATTTTAGTATAACCTCGTTAAAAAATTGTATTGTTACGCAAAAATACCATTTTTCATTATGTACCCTTTTTCCCTTAAGAAAAATTATCATATATTTCACTTACAACTTTATCCAGTAGATAGCTCGCAGGAAATATACATGGGATGTAGGTGATCATATACACCATCGACGTCCAGTACACAGTAATACTCGTAACTTCATAATATTTAACCACCGTGTCCTGTATGATGCTGTACTGTATCCACTGCATGGAATTACTCGCCGAGTACATCACAAATATAAAGAGAACCAGCCATCGGATTGGATATACGCGATATTCAGTCGGTATTTTCTTAGGCGATTCTAAATCCCCTTTCTCAGTCACCCCATCCATTACGCTCCCAGAAACCTCCAAGCTCTTCGAATCCATTATATCTAATTTATTGTCGTAGTATGGCACTTTAAATAAAACTATTTGTCTATGACATTTATTTATTATTGTCAATTCGCGCGCAATTTTAAGGCGGCGTAGACCGTACCGCGCGACCGCCTGTGTTCGACTGCATTTTCTATTTTCCTCCGAGTCAAGTTTTCCACCCTCTAACCTTCATGATGATTTAAGCCTATACTGACTGCCTAGTGTAATTTGTGTGCCTAAATCATAATGACCATAACGATTGCATACTTTGTAAATGATATTTTTATGACTGGTTTAATAGCGCAGTGCATTTATTTTGTGTATATAAACGTTTGTATTGTTCTGTCGTGTAATGTTATACATCTACATTATTATTGCACGTGTTTAATCTATAATAAAACATTTTGTCAATGACACCAAATCAGTTAAATATGTTTTTTATGGCACATATATAACTTTTTAATTATTGCTTCAATAACTATATTTTTATATGGATACTGTGAGTCTTATAATATTTCTAGGTAAATTATAAATTGAGTGTGAGTTTGATTCCCAGCGTAATAATAATTTATTTATGGTAAGTAAGAACAGTCCGCTATAGGCCATAAACGCTTGAATTTTGTTGTTATTTAAAGTTTATCTTTACCCAACTGTTTATTATAATTAAACCAGGTGTTCCAGCACCATAATAGACTATTCTAATATGTATATAAAATTCTCGTGTCACAATGTTCGTTCCCATACTACTCCAAAACGGCTCGACCGATTCTTATGAAATTATTATGCATATTCAGTAAGACTGGGAATCGGCTACTATCTTTCAAACCCCTTAATGTTAAGGGTAGTCCACCTCTAAATTTTTATTTTTTAGATATTTTTTTAATGATACAGGATACAAAAATACATACAACCCACCTTTAACCCTATAATTTCTTCATTATTTCCGAAGCTGTTTTTGTTATCATGATATTAATCCTTATCTCAAATATTAATCATCTCAAGGGGGCTACCCTAAACTTTCTTTAAAAAATCAGGGGGGGGGGCGGGGGGGGGAATCCATTAAACGTTTTTTCAAATTTGCCTTTCTAAGTAATTTGATTTACAATAAATGTTTTATAGTACGGGAGGTAGCAACGTTTTTTTCGAGAAAGAATTTCAGGTCAGCTGATTATTAGTGATATGTCTTCCTTCATTGCACTTTCAGGTTAGAGTGTGCATTTTTTTTTCTGGTGCAATCTGGACCACCAAAAAGGCAGGTAGCAGGTTGCGTTCATAAGTGCGACATCTTATCTGTCACAGGTAATAATCCTGGATTTTAGATTATAATAATAGCATTTTTAAGAAGCACATATTAGTAATTTTTACTTTATAATATTTTCGTTTTTAAATAAAGAGGGTTAAAAAAAAAAAAAAATTTTTTTTTTATTTTTAATTTAAAAAAAGGCAAGCTAGAGACTACCTGACATATTTTTTTTGAAATTGCCTGAAGACATTTTTCGAAAAACATTGCTATTATAATATTAAACTATGTGCCAGACGCGATTTTAAGCAGGAAATGTTAAATTTGGCCGAAGTTATTGTATGTCATGTGCGATATCATAACAGGAGTAGCATTTCCTCATATTCACTTCAACTACAGTGGAGCATTATCTCCAATGGTAGCAAGAGCGGATCCAGAATTCCCATCACGGGTCATATGGTCAAAGTTAAAATTCTGATGTGTGTTTTTTGTCTATAAACTAAACCTATTTTTTAACAAGTTGAAATTGAATTAAAAATTCGTGAAACAGTACAAATTAAATTTTACGACTGCCTTGTGGTGTAGGTTATGTAGGACTCTACGGCATACCCACTAAAACCCCACGGCGCCACCAGCCTTGTCCGAATCCCACCCGTCAAACGTTTAAGTCCTGGATAGATTTTGCGAGAGCAAGGACAATAATCACATCGGCCTATTCGCCCTAGTTCGTTGAGGTGAGGTTGTCGGGTTCAATGCTTGAAAGGATCTCTTTTTTGGACGCAAGGACGCCTGTACCCCCTACGTCTACGCTATTCGAAGGTTGCGACAATATTGAGAGAAATAGATCGAAATTCAATGCCTGCAATGCAATGACGATACAGAGTAACAACACAGGCCATGAGTATAGTGACCCGCTCATGAATAATATCTTCCGACCGGAACTTTGGTAAACCTTTTTTAACTTTTATTACATGGCAGAAATAATAATAATTTTGAAGAGTCTTTAATTGTTACTGCAATCCATGATCTATTGTCATTACTATTTTCGCTATTTCAAAATCGTGTTTCTTGCGTCCAATTTAATGTATTGTACGGACGAAAAATACATGCTTGCATACTTGTCCTCTTAGCAATTACTACTGCATGCTTTTTGCTCAGATTTTTCTTCAAGGAGTTATAAATGTAAAGTTATCAAGCGGCAATCTCTTTACACTGCTTATGTACGTCAAGCGCCTATTATTGATAAATTTTTTATCTTGTCAGCCGTTTAAAGTTGTAAAATATTGATAAGTTTATTCGTAAAACCCTCAAAGTGTTTTTCTAAACTTTAAAATTTGTTTCATAATACAAAAAATAATCACAGATATTATTTATAGTACCTAATCTAAGAAAAACTGCACATATAGGTAGTAATACAAGAATCTAGACGTCAATGAAAAGTGTGAAAGTATCTACAAACGAACTTCAAGCCTCTTATTAAAAATTCATTCGTTTTATTATTTAAAGGGGAAATTAGAACTCCAGAAATCCTCCACAAAGCAACTTAAATATCAATGAAAATATTTATTGCATAACCTGTAATACTTCAAAGTGTTTTTTAAAACTCAATAATCTATATATATGAAACTACCACCATCAAATTTTTCCTAGATGGTTTATGGCTATTTATTTATTAAATTCCAACGTTCCTTCATTTTTTTATTGCTGTTTTACTTTTATGAAAATTTATCCATACGGACTTCACCGCGGAAACATTCGGGGAGGCTTCCTAGAACCTCTAAACGTCAACATCTGTTAAAAACTCGATTTTCGAAATATTTCAATTTCCTTAGGGGGGAGGAAAAAAAAAAAAAAAAAAAAAAAAAAAAAAGAAAATAAAGTTTTATTTATTTCTATTTTAATTCGACCAGCAAATAGTTTCTTTTATAAAAAAGAATTACAGATATTATTAATTGTACCTACTCTAAGAAAAACTACATACTTATATAAAAGCGTAATTTAGACGTCAATCAATAGTGTTAAAGTACAATCTACAAACGAACTTCAAGCCATCAAGCAACTTATTAAAAATGAGCGGCAGGTCTACTAAAACCTAAGGTTCAATGAACCTTCACTGTCTGTTCACAAGCAAGTCAATTTTATTTATCAACGTATAAGATAAATATCATTACAACCTAATCTCTTTAACACGCTTTTATCTGTAGACAATCGACATCATTTGCAATCCGCATTTAATAGATGATAAAATACATGTGTAAAATTTACACGAAAATCTATATATTAAGACTAAACCAGACGATTAAATAAACGAACCAATTGTGGAATCGCAAAGATACAGTCCGGTCTCTGATTCCTGTAACATTTGTTAATTTATCAGATGTAAATCTACAGATTTCAGCCTGTTTACTCAAAGAGTTATGACTTTACTGAACCCAGACTTCCAGATCCAGATCCTACTACATATACTTATTACTGTTTTTATACATTTTTAATAAAAGTTTCAACTATCAAAATATAGTTTCAAGTCAACTAAAATAGTGTCACTATGCGAGTTGACAAATTCCACTAATTCCATATCAAAATGTAGTAAACCGATAAAAAATATAGTATTGTAATATAGTATTTATATAAGTGTTCGATGATTACTCAAAATAAAACGGTCTTATCGCGAGCACTTGTAAGACTCAATTACTGTTAAGAAAAGAAGATTAATGCATAATAACGTACAGACAGAATACAGACCAGTTCTAAAAAGATTTATTTTGTATTTTTTGATTTTACTTCAATAAGTGTCTACCTTGCCCACTCTGCAGGAGCTAAAAAAAAAGTCTCACGTTATCCTGAAATGTACGGGGAAGGTGCGAAGGCGTCGAATACGATCGCCCCAGGAGACTTCTGTGCCTCTAGAGTCGACCTGGCAACATTGGTGTTAAATGTAGCTATTGCCTAATCGGTAAAAACGTAGCCCACCGTCACCACGCATCACAATTATTTCGAACCAGCTGCAGTCGAGATACTTCCGAAACTTGGCGCACTTCAATAAGAATTGATACGCCAGAGCCAGGTGGCTCGCACGCCATCTGACTACATAAATTCACCCGTTACCTCTACAAGAGACTTGTATGGAGTATATCTCCTTTGTATCCGCTTATATACCCGATCCTAGCCTTTAGAAGAGAGCTTACTATATCAGTGTACCTATTCAGGATACTTACGGGTCGGGTCGGGTTACTGCAAAGTGGTTATAATGGAGAGATTGAGTCTACGGGTTTCAAACAAGAATTTGAGGCGGAGGTTGCAACAACACTCATGCGAGCGCTTCACGTAATGAATAATATTTCTATCGGGGTAGACCTATTTATTTGTACCCTGGCTGAGTTCACAAGAGCTGCTTGTTATATTAATAGGTATAAAATGTGGGTATATAACTTTTTATTAATTTTAGAATTATCGGTATATATTATTATGTAGTTCTATCGCATTAGTAATAACTGTAAAGATATAATTATTATATTGGAAATAAATAAATGTCCATAGTTAGCGATATCACGTGACCTTCCAGCACGTTTGCCTCCTAATCAATAAAAAAAGTGTGTGTGTGTCAGCTACGACGCACGATTGGAGTTTACTCCTTACGAACGATAAAATGGCGATAATGTTCTGTGGCTGTCGACCATATTTTCATACTAAAGGTGGTAAGAATATATGTTTTTATAATATAAATGTTTGTAGTAGTAATAAAACGTACCTACATCATCTATGCCCAAATAGG